AGGCTTTATGAGGTCAAAGGTAGTTTACTTGGGCCATGGATTGAAACCGCCTCGGTGGGAATTTATTGCAGATTCTAAAGCATGCAAAACATGTCTTTGGTATGAAGAAAAGAATGACTTTTAAAATATTTTCAGTTGTGAGACAGGTGAAAATGACCACAACAGATTCTGCAAATACTCCCCCATTCAGCCTTTGAACTACATTTAGACTACATTACTTGGGCTTTACCGTTTAACGGTTATGTAATCTTGAAGACACCAGCCCAACAGTGGCAGTTATATAGTATACATGTAAGTCCCAGATTGCCCTGTTAGTTTAGTGAAAGCAGACACAGGCTGTTTTGTCCTGTGACGGATCATTGCCCTGCCAGTTTTGTTGTACAGGAGGGTTACAATAAGTCAAAGGGGGCAACTTTTGTCCGTCATTTTTTTGTAGTGTGTAACCGACGCTCACACAATGGCTAGTACAGTAACAACTGGCCTGGGGCTTTCGCTTAGAGTAGAGCAATTCAATAGCATTGGATTTTGTTGGCAGCCATAGGTGTATGTAGTGATCTTACAATACGTTGTTTGACTACATGGTTGAATGACAAAAATGTTTGATACTGTACTTGATCATGATGTTAGCTATAGTAAAGCATCAATTCTGTCATTATAATGTATCTTAGGCTTTTCTATAATACTTAGCATCAGACATGATGTCGACACCCCCTGTATCTGTTATTGTGGACAAATTATTGTGGCAGAAATGTCCCAGTCCCAGTATAAATGATTCTTCTAATCTCTGCGTTTACTGAATTGTTGGGTAAATGATGCACTTCAGACTGAAAAGGTGAAGTTGTTTGCACAGTGCTTTTTCTTTGAGTGCAGTGAGTTGTATCAGTGCACCTATGCACACATCTGTCCCATTGCACAGGTGGTTTCAATCACACACAATGAAGGGCTCCTGTCTATCAATAGCTCACTAGGTATTGCTCAAATCAGGAATTCTTTTTGCAGGTCGACTTTTGATCTGAAGTTCATAAAAATGGTTTGTAGCAGAGTATACAGTTTCACAGCAAGTGATACATGTATCAATATGACTGACTGCCAATGCATTGTTTCTATTGTGCACATAGAACCTCACAAATAAAATTTCATTGAGTACATAAATGATTTTATAAAACAGATTCTCTCAGTCACTCACTAGCCCTCAGTTTTGAATATAACTTTCTGGCAAACTTCTGTTGTTTTGTCTGACACCTGTTAAGTAAAAGCAAAGTACATATGGTGAAGGTGACATTGAATCCAGTCTTCTATATCATATGTCTTTGACATGACAGTGGTAAGCTCTTTGCCTGTAGCTTGTCATTTTCCAGCCACTGCCTCTGAAAGAACTCATCTACTCTACTCCCATATACATTACACTCAGCACCAGACACCCTTACTGTATTCTTAGTCAAGTATGGCTGCTTGCGTCATGTAGGGGTGAAAACATTCATGCTCACCATGGAACCTGGTTGTTAGGCCACACCAATTTAATTTGCTGGTTCTCGGATTTTTTCAAGAAAAATATGAAGCGACAGGGCGAAAAAAAATAAAAATAAAAACAGGTCTAGGCATCCTATTATAGGCTTAAATGCTACGGAATGAGCCATGAAGTCAACACAAAAGGCTAGGTTAAAATTTAAACATTGAATTTTGAACTTTTAATCAAACCACTGCAATGATAGATGGGAAAACTGTAACAACTAGAAAGGCCAATATTTGCTTTGGAGCAAATACAGCGATGGGTTCACCACATTTTACCACATGGCAGGGAAAGAATGAGAAACACAAGGGAAAACAATGAATTACATTGATATAACTATAATATGAAGTAACATACAACTAAAACAACAGTTGGATAGCTATTCCCTACTTTATTGGTTAGGATTTTTAATTGCATAATGCAAACTGTTGATTTTCAAAATAAAATAAAAACGTTCATGCCCCGCATTCCAATGCTGGAGCAGAAAAGCTTGAAATACCTACCAAAACACTTGAATAAAGACATACTGTCAGTATGGAAATGCTCTGTGCAGGTGTTAATCAAGTTAAATCCCAACAGCCAATCAGCAAGAAATGCTCTGTGCAGGTGGAAATGCTCTGTGCGGGTGTTAATCAAGTTAAATCCCAACAGCCAATCAGCAAGAAGTATAGAGGAAAGCTGCATGCCTATTGGTTGATGCCCTGCATTCCATTGTGATGACTCATGCCCAGACGTGGTAAACACGGCAGACTAACACAGTAATACATTTGCTATAACACAGCCAAAAAACTCAAATAAAACCATTCTAAAAGCCTGTATCACAAAATTTAAAAAACGCCTAGGGGTATTTGCCCACTGTACCTCCATACCAAATTTCAGGACCTTAGGCCCTAAAATGAAGAAGCTGAATCCATTTAAAGATATGGCAGGAGAAGGAGGAGGAGAAGGAGGAGGAGAAGAAACATCAGAAAAAGCAATATGGGTTCACCACCACTTCGTGGTGTGGTGAACCCATAACTAGGAAGAAAAGGACTTTCCTCAACTGTTGGGGGCAAAACATGAGCATTTTTCAGTTCATTCAGGACCAGAATCAAATTTTTTTTTTTTGCAAATCAGAAAAAAACGAAGAGGCGAATCCGAGAACCAACAAATTAAATTGGTGTGGCCTTATTACGTCTAGCAGCTACCTACAAAGGTTTAACTCCGAGGTTAGCGTGCAGTGGCTGTGTCTGTCACACGAGGAGGTTTTAAATAAATAAACTCAAACTACAAGTACTTGTGTAGTATAATTTTGTAGGTCACGTTGTACACCTTTGTTCTTTCACCATTACTATTTATATTCATTAGTTGCCCTACTTCTTTACCCTAGACTCAGATTTTTGTTATCAAAATGTGCTTGGGCCCATGTACAAACACAGGGACTGTTTGGTCTGTCTCACTTGAAATTGAATTAGGTAACATGCTTTTAGACAGCATTGTCCTGCCAGTTGTGGGTAAACAATTGGTATGTAGACCTAATAATGGAGTCTGAAGAAAAGTTTGAGACAGAAAATTGAGTTAAACTTAAAGCAGAGATATTGAATGTAATGTGTAAACAAACTAGTAATGACTTGTTCATAATAATATGGAGAAGTTTCAAACTAGTTTTAACACAAAGATTACTGCTACATGTAATACTAATAGTGTCAACAAATTTTTGACCTGACTGCTCAGACCTTTTCTAGTCAAAGTTTTATAGAATATTTGATTTGACTAGGTTATTTGCAAGAACCATGTAATTTGGAGGCTAAATTGTATTCGGAAAGTCTGGTAATGATTGTGATTAATTATTTGTTAGGAGAAATTTGATTCTACCCTATATTTGAACCTTCATTGGTAAGTTGTTGAATATCATCATTTCCTTGCAGGACCTCTAGCGCTGGAAAGAGGCAATGCAGCCACCAGCTTCTCCCGCTTTCTGGAAAGACACAAGTTTGAATAGTAAGTACAACTGACAGCTGTGCTCTATCTTTCATTGGTGTTAGAGCAAGAAGTGCTGACCAGAATCTGTAATGATCTGATGAAAGTGCACAAGTACTGTGTGCCTTCGGCCAGGTAAGAATGCCACCGCTTGAACAGGTTTGGTACTGCAGTGACATAATTATACCAATTCATTCTTTGGCTTTGTTTTATCGTTGATATCTGTCATAAGCATTGTAATTACAAACATAATGTAAAGGTGTCATGTAGTATTTCATAATGATTATTGTGAACAGGGCAGTTCTCTTCTTGTGATGTTTACTATATGACTGACCTCCCTAAACACCTGACCTGCATCGGTTGGAAAACCAGGTATAAATGATTTTTAGAACATTATAGATGTAATGTATATACATGTCATTTGTTATTAGGAAATGGCTTGGAAACATTTTGCAGTTGATGAAACTAACAAAGCTATTCCTTCCAAAGTGTAACAGATACTGCTTCAGATGTGCACTACATGGGAAACAGGTGACCCCTTGTTGACCCCACAGTGTACAGGTGCCCCCTAGTGGTTATGCTTATTACTGCAGCAAGCTATTGGTATTCTGAACATGTGCATGCATGTTGGTTTCAAAAGTACATGTTATTCCCCCTAGGTTTATGAAGCTATTACCATGATTGTGCCATTTTATGACTCCATGAGACAATGTATGATAGATCTACATGTATGTATGCAGTTTGCCCTTTTAAGTGCCAAGCAATAATGAGTCATCACAATCCAGTGATAGATATTTTCAAAGCTCTTTGTTTGTTACTGCCAATTGTATCAGTGAATCTATGAATACACATTTTTCTGGTTCTCATCCAAAATAAAGTGAAGCTACCATTTCAGTCCATTATATTGTAGGTGTCAATGGCTTGGTTGATTGAAGAAGAATAGGTATCCCAAGCTATTGTGTGATGTTCCCAAGTCCAAAATGTTGCATGAATGTTTTATTGTGCAGGAGAATGCTGTCATCATCCATTATTGTAATATGATACTGCTCTCATCATGGCTAACATTGACAATTTCTTTTCCAGGAGATAAAGAAATGAATTACTTTTGCCTTTGCCTTTCTTGAATAATTTAATGCACCTTCCTTCAATACGCGAATTTATTGGCAGAAATTTATTACGTTGTCATTCATCACTTATTGGATATACCTTCCAAAGAAGTGAGTTATGGATTAATCTCATGTAAAAGAATGAATTACTCATTCTTCTGTCAGAAAGATGCTGGACTAGTTTTATACCTGGTAATTTTCCTCATTTCTAGGCCAAGGACACATGATCCACACCTGCACCAAAACCTGTTCCTTTGCATGTGTACCAGGTGCTGCACTACCTGATATTCCGGTAGATCCCTTATCTTATTGTACAACAGAGGCGTGATAAATCTCCACTCCCCGTGTTGATTCATATGCAAATCTTAATCACAACTCTCCCTGCCCACACTGCTGTATTGAGTGATTAGTGTTGCCTGCCCCCAGGGCCAGTGAGAGATACTGACACTAGCACGCCGGTGATTTGTGGTATGTTCGCATGCCTCCATGTATCTGTTGCCGTGGGCACCCGTGTGTTGGTGGCCGCGTGGTGGATACGTGTGTCCCGGGAAACGTGCCCAGCATCTCACCACACCTGGATCGATAACTCAGCCGTACGCAGATGGGAGGGAAATGTAGCACCGCTCTACCTGGCCTTGAGGACAAGTCAGACAACTGAGGACGTGTGGGGCATGGTGCAAGCATCACACAGCTGACATCCTAACCTAGCCCTCAGGTGCAGCTGGGAGGATTGCATGTTACTGTGCCTCTGCTGTAAATCAAGGAGCGGCATCAGCAGCACTGATCATAGGAATTGCACTGCCAGAATCATCTGTTATGGAAGGTGGAAATGATGCTTCATTTTTACCTACAGCCTGTAATGTTTTGGGGGATACATGTAATTCCTAATAACCTGTCTTTGTAACAGCCATAAATCGTACTGGTCACTTGTCAATGCTGATTCCCATTTACACCAGTAAAACCAGTGATTTCTGGCCAATTTGGCCTTTATGGACGATTTCTGATTGGGTACCAGGTGAACAGGAGATTGACGGCAAATGCGTGTGGATTATCTACATTTCTTCTCTATTTCATTTCTGACCTTCTTATTTCTCACTGATCCTGCTACAAAGATTTCTACTTATTTGTAGCTCTCTCTCGAGCTGTCTGAATTGTCATTCAATCTCAATCTAGTTTAGGCATACCAGTAATCTCTCTGCAGAACAGTGGCTATCGTGTGTGGATACCTATAGTGTAGCTCCTTTCTTATTACAGTATATGGGGGTAGAGTCACTGTCACTAAATGAGGCAGTTACTGGATGTTTACTTTCTATTGTGTTATCATTAAAAGATGTTATTTGAAGGAATCATGTCCCCATGCTCCAAAATCATATTTGAGTAACTGATTTTTGGCACATATCCCCATGTCTCATGTACTCTTCTGTTTCTACCGTTAGGACTGTTTCCCCTATTGTCAGTATATTTTGATAGCATTTTTTTCCAATTTCCCCATTTTTTTGTCCAAAGCGCTGTTTAACAAGAGATGTCATTTATATGGCCCCAATACAGATAAACAAGTAAAAATACACAGAAAACAGGGTTTATGTTGTTAATGCCTTATTGGGGGCCATGGATTACCCGATGAAAGGTATTACATGTACTTTGTTTATAGTCACGTCCACAAGTGGAATTATACCACTAGTACAGATTCACACGTCAATCTTTCTCACCTCGCTATGCCTACTAAGAGGTTAAACCTTCACCGAAGGAACAGCAGCTTCTCATGCTGCTGACATTGTTTTTGGTAGGACGAAGATATTTCCTCTACAGTTTTCCAAGGCCTCCTAGATAAAGCCTGGAAGAAAGCCACTGTTGTTTGTTCTTCCGTCTCCCCCTGCGCTTTCTTAAGATCACTCTCCTTATCCTTACAGTAATCAGGCTCAGCTCGGGAAGAGAAAGGGCTCTGCCCGTGTTTTTGGTTTGGTCTCGAGGCTGCTGCGAGGCTTAACAAGACTTGGCTGTTCTCTCCACGGCCTTTGATTCTGAGTTGGTTTGCTCAGTTGCAGCCTTTGGCAACAATGTGAACTGTGTGTAAAGTTGATTTAGGAGGAAAGAGTGCTTACCCTTGTCTGCTGCGCGGCAGAGGTTCACATGAAAGGTTCGCCTCCACATGAACTTTCCAGAATACTGAGATGTGTGCAGTGGATCGGCTTAAATCACATCGTTCGACAGATTTGTACACTGGTATTCAGTCAGAATCGTTGATGAAAGACAGAGCAATGTGCTACCTTCTTTTGGAAAGTAGGTTCCTCTAAAGTAACTTGTGTCTGTATCTGTGTCAAACTTATGTGTGATGTGTTGAAGTGTAAATACCAGTAACTGTAATCATGGTATAGTAGCATACTGCATGTTGTCCTGTAACTGCATTAGGGAATGTAGGCAATGTTTGTCATTTGAATGTAGCAACTAATATCATCAGTGCATAGAATGTGCAGAAATTCTTCAGGTATTTTGCTAAATGGAGTATTTAGTAAGTTGATCCAATAATATTTTATGTGCCCTAAGAAGGTTGTGAGATGGGAACAATTTGATACGCGTTTTTGGAATTCATCATACTGGAAACAGAGTGGTAATCTATATTCTGCCCAACAAAAGGTTACTGGATTTTCCAGGTACTGTTGTTTTTCGATGGTGCATTTCAATGGCTCTTGAAAAATTCACACTCGGAGGTCCAACAAGTCAAGTAGATTTTTCCCTTGAACAGAGCAGGCAACTTAAGGTTGTTGACTTAGTTATCTGAATTTAAGCTCCTATTTGATCGGTCACTCTTTTTTTGTTGGTCCACATGTGAATTCCTAGACCACAGAACTGATCTGTAGGCTTGTCAGCTCTGTACTTGGAGACTCTGTGCTTTAGAGGCATGTGTACAGCAGACATGTTGTCAGTAATGCTCATGTTGTAGAGAGGCTGGCATGTCAGTCTAAAGGTGAGCGTGTTCATGTGTTGTACCTTAGCCCTCAGCCTTCAGATCTGTGTGCCTTCCTGTCTAGTTGAGATGCCAGTACAGTTCTTGGGTGTGGCTGCAACCGGGCAGACTGTATCTGTATCTGAGTGGTTTGGTCTATCAAACCTTTTTTTAAACATTTCAACTTTTACTTAAAATGCTTGGGCTACTTTGGATTCACATGGTCATCTCCGAAAATAGATTTGAGGTGCAGTTGTTGAAGACTCTCCTGAAATGGTCTGAAACGTCTTGACCCCATTTGGTGGGTTGTAGAGATTTTTCCTACTTGAATGTCGATAATGTTTGGGTTTAAGGTTGTCTGCTTGTGATTCTGAAACTGGACTCTCACATGGGATTGCTACAGATGTGAAGTATTCACCAACCATTTTTTGCAGCGCTGTCTTTGACTGAGCGGGCAGCTGTGTTTGTTGTGAGGTTCATGCAGACATCTCTTGAATCTGTGTGCCGAGTTGTGCCCTGGTGAACATCAACATGCCAGAGATGTATCACTGGGACTTCCAGCCTGTGGAAAGGGCCAAGGTCAAATATGCGGAGAATTGCAGACTGCACCACGATGTGCCTGTGCCCTCCTTTGAAAAATACATCGAAACCAGGAAGCGGCCGCAGGACAACTATATACGGAAGTGGCCGCAGTCCTCTGACGAAAAGTTCCCCAAACCAAAATATATGGAGAAGTACGCGAGGAAACTTCTGGAAAAGCATGCACAGAGACAGCCTATCAGGTACATGTATAGAGACAAGCATGCAGAGACTGAGAGAAGGCGAGAACATGAAGCCCATGTTAAACTTAGGGTACGAGTTGGGAATCAGACAGTTGTACATAGAAATGGAGTGCCACGCTTACGCATGGCCCATGGAACTGTTTCAAGTTCAACCACCAGCTCCATGCCTAGCAGTAATCTGGACATCATCCAAGGAACTGCTTTTGGGTGGTAAGTGTATATTACTCCAGTTATTGTAGATTAGACTGTCACCATCATTACACTGAGGAGTAATCAACAAGCACAGTTGCACCATAACTTCCAGGTATTGGTGGATTACACTATTACTTGCAGGTGTTGATGGCTAGAATAACTTGAACATGCAATAACTAACTTTAATTTGTATATTCTATGCATTTGCAGAAATATTTCAAATATGTCACATTTCAAAAGGGTTTTCATTTGAATTCATCTCAAACATCCTAATAAAATCCAAATGAAGACAATGATAAAAGTATATTTAATATTTGTACATGCATGCAGTGTTACAGAATGCCCCAAAGAGCAACTTCTTACATAAACCCCTTCGAATTCCTTGTCTTCAGGTCCACCATTAGTTTTCCTATGACCAATGCTACTTTTTATGTGCCCTAAGAAAGTTGTGAGGTGGAAACAATTTGTTATGCATTTTTTAAAATTCATCATATTGAAAATGAAGTGGTGATCTATATTCTGCATATAATATCAACAAAAGGTTACTGGATTTTTGTACATAGAAATGGAGTGAACCATGGCATTTTCCCCCGTGCCCATGGACATAGACACGTACATGTATATCCTCTAGATCTACGCCCATCAGGTACTCCAGCCACCTGTGACCTGTAACGTGAGACTGTAAACAGGTGTGAGGTGGAACAGTGTGACCTCAGAAACAAACATATACACTGGCCAGAAACTTACACTGTAGGCCGTTCCAGAACGACTTCAAGTCCTGGTCATTATGACAGCTATGACAGTCATGGGGACTTGTGCTGCCAAGCCAGAGCTACCCAGGTATGGCAGTTATAGATACTGGTGTTAGGGATCGTTAGTTGGATGGTGCATACAGGTACAAATTGGTTATTGATTGAAATTAATCTGATGGTAAGTCAACTGGAGTTAGTTATACCAATTGCTGTTTGTGCTTGGCTAGATTTTCCTCCTTTTCAGAAGCCAGTGCTATCATTATTTATGGTCAGAAATCCTCAATGTTTCTTGCATTCTTAGATATTGTTTTAAATTTCCTCCATGTATTTGTTAGGTTGTTTGATAAGTATAGTACTGTGTCCCATGTGTACTGACCCATAGATGCCATACAGAAGAGCATAGACAAAACTTGTTACAAGTTAGGTAATGTTCTCTTTATGTATTGGGACAAACATAGGATCGGAAATATGCGGATAGAATACAATTACAGTTCCAGAACAAATAGTTGGCCAAAGGATTTTTGGATTTCATTATGGCTGGCAGACCACTAAATTAAATGTGTTCTGCAAACATGTTGAAATAGTTTGATAGACCAGGCCAAGAAGGGGGTCACAATGAATTTGAAATGTCTACCCTATCATTGACTACATAGCAACATTTGGTTACTGGCATCATCATTCAATCATCCCTCATAGAGGAGTTACTAGGATATTTCAAATAGTTTCTTCAACATTAAGATTCAAATATGTCAAGGTTCAAGCTACTCTACAGTGGACAGGTGTCTCTACATGGTTGTCTAGCAATGGTAAACCATACATAATGCTTATAGAGCATAAATCAGGGTACTGTGGTACACTTAACCCACAAATGGTATGCCTTGTAGTAGCTTATTAATTCCTGACGATTAAACACACCGACTTTCATAAAGGAGGTGGGTTCATTTGTGGTGTTACATCAAACATGACCAGTCCAGGATACGGTGCATTAAATTTTCATGTTGCTTTTTCTACCTGTCAGTTGATAAATGGTGAGCTGAGCCGCTATAGTCTGGTTCAAAGCCTGGGGGACAGCATGGCCGAAAATCAATCATTGGTTATCAGGTCGTTAAATCTGATTGATATAGGATCACTGATAAAGTTCACTTTTAATAACTGGCGCTGTTTGTTAATGTCAGACCTTTATCCCAAAGATAAACTCTTTAAAATAAAACTGCAATATGAAATATTTAGTAATCCAGGACATAGCCATCACTAATCATTGTTGAAGGATTACAAACTATTCAGTGAGGAAGACATGTAGCTGATTTATTGATCTGATTGTTTTTGTGCCGTTGCTAAGTTTGAACAATATAATATACAGTTCTCAAGTTCTGGTGTAGTAGTGTTCTGAAAATGTAATATCTTGTGCGGCGGTGTAGCCCATTGTTGTGAGGTGCATGGCGGAGGTGTAGGGTTACCTGGCAGTGTTAAGTGCCTGGGTATGAGGTCATTTCCCTGGTGAAGGTTACTGTTCCGGCCATGGTTCACCCGTACTCGGGGCTCCTCTCAAAACTTGGTACAAACTGTCGGAATTCTTCAAATGTTGGTGTTCTTGTTTTCTTGTAGCACTACTGGTGTCCTACGATTCCCCCGTGACTGTATTGCTCTTAGTGACCTGACTATTTCTTTTAGTAAATACTTTGTATGGACCGGATGTTTTACGTTCAGAGCAAACAGAAATTAACTTGCTAACAATTACCCCAGAAATTTGATAAAACTGTAACAAGCCTAAATTAGCACCCTTATCTGTTGATGATAATGATGATGCCCTACTGATGGTCTACTGATGATTGGTTGATGATATTTGAAAGTCTCATAGAAGTTTGAGTTGTGCCCTGCGAGTGATACCCGACTTAGGGCGAGACAATGAATGTTATTTACATAAGAAATGGTCCCCATTGTTGTGTGTTTACTCTAGCTCCTGTTACGCAGACACTAGGCGGGCTTTGTACATTGTTGGTACATGCGTGGGTTGTTGGCACCATCAACAGATTTCTGAGTTTTATTATTTGTGTTCCCACAAATCGAATCGCCGATATGAAGTATTTCTAAGTGACCCTGCCGTGGAGGAATTCTGCTGAGTTGTGTACACCACAGAAGTGGGTCGTACCAAGTCACGCCACCAGTTGAACCGCTGGTCCTTCGGGGATTGTGTTGTTTTAATTGAGAGTTTGCAACGGACTGGGACGAGGCATGAATACCTGTTGTCCATGCCTGCTTACGGCCCTGGAGTTGTAACATGTCCTTGTGTGTTTACTCCACGCCAACCCTGCAGGGCAGCACACAGGGGAGGGAATCTCGGGAAACAGGCGCTGTTTTTCCGCCATTCTGCTGCAGTCATCCAAGGAACCAATAGGCCATCTGTTCACAATTGGCCACTATAGACTGAAAGGGTTGATTAATGGAGTCCGTCCACTTCGGCAAAAGCTCAAGTGCTTCTACCTGCCGTGAACTTCTGTCCTGTATTCTCTACCAAGTGTGTCACCACTGTTGGAGTTGGACAATTTCCTCAGACTAATGGACATTTCCTGAAGGGTGTGGGAAAATTGTAATTTTTTTAGGTCAGCAGAAAAACTGATTTAATTAGGACAAGGGGACTGCCGAATCAAACAGGTGGTTGAGAAAGGTCAGGGTCAGTTCTGCATTGTTTCGTGTTAATTCTTCCAATAGGAGCAGTTGTCCAAACATTGTAGATCATTCAGCTTGTAGTGAGCTTGTTGACACCATTCTTACTGCAGGCTGCCTATCTGAAGGACGCTGGAAAGTGAACAACATCAGTACGTATGTGGGCTAAATGTCATTTTTTTTAACTAACATCACTGAAATACGCAGTTTTGTTTCCAAGGCAGACAAGTAACTGATTGTATAGACCCTTTGTCAAAACTTCAGCAGTGTCCAAACTTTAGTACAGCACCAAAGTGTCCATCCTGACTTTAGCACGCGGTTATTCAAAGAGTGGAGAAGTGTTTGCTATAGAGACTCGTCTCGTGACTGTACAGTGCAGTAGACTGCAGAATGTGGCCCTGAAATGTCAGCAGAGGTGCGAACCACTGATGGAGTAATCTGTCCACAATGCCCGTAAACCCAGCAGTCTTTGTTGCCGAGACAAATTAGCTCTCAACCCTGTTCTTCAGTAGGTGTTATTTATGGTCTGGATACGCCCGTACTGTGTCCACTGTTATTAGCAAGATGACCAGGTCAGAGGAGGATCGTATCATGCAGATGTTGACCAGACGACCGCGGCTCATTCCAGGCCGTGCCACCATGGGAGACTGTATATGGTTGCCAAACTCTGTTGCCAGAACAAGACAGTAAGTACTGTACTCTGCTGGGTGTACTGTCATACATTGTATGTACATTATGTAGAGGCAAATGTGAATCACTAATGTTGGTGTGTTATATTACCAGGGCTCGAAATCCAATTTTCTGCATATTAACCTGCACCAGGCAAATTCTACCAGCACAACTCAGAATTTAGGAAGTATCTAATGGATCATGTTAAAAACTATTCAGAAACCATTGCCATTATTTCTGTTTTACTTTTTTAAAAAGTCTCATAAACATACACATGTCATATGTTTATGAGGCTTTTGTAACCCAGTACATCAGCCAGTACAGGTTAGATGCAGGTAGACATCAGAAATACCTGCACTAGCCTGCATATGCAGGTGGTATTTCAAGCCCTGCATTACCAGTACCAGTCCATTATATAGGTTGCTCTAAAGGTTAGGCATTGTGTTGTAGTACATAAAATAGGGAGACAAATTTCAAATCATGATAGAAAACAAAAGTGATAAAATGTTGGGATAAAACTTTGTATTTCATAACCTTTACTCAAATGCCAGAACTCAGTATCAAGTCAATCACTTTATTGAAACATTTAACATAACATACAATTCTAATGCACTGATAATTTTGCGCAGTTATAATATAGTCATAGTCTTTTGAGACTGACTGACAGAGAGAGAGATAATGTGCCTACATTCTGTTACAAATTTTACGTAACTGTAAGCAACAGTCTCACTCTACATTAATACTATAATTGGACAATATATCTACTTGGACATTTGTTCCCAAAGGCATCATCATCATAATATTATTTTGTTCCAATAGTCACTGCTGAGCCTTAGTTAAAGTAGCCTGTCTTTATTTGTTCCTCAGAATTCATCAAAATAGACCCTTTGACTGGACTGGAAGCAGTTCCGTATAATGATGAATATTGCTAGTAACTACAGTGATTTTTTGTAATGTCCAAAAGAAAGTGGAGTTCTATCGCCATGACCATAGATAGGGTACATTCTATGACTGAGGACCTCTATTGGCAATACATAGAACTGCAGGTGGGTACTACATGTAGTACCGGTACCGGTAGTTCACGTCTACTAGTAACATTGCTGTTCCTTAACCAGTGATAGTGTTCCTACATTCTTGCTCCATTAAGCTTCATACTATTTATTGGCTGGTCATCTGTCTTTTGAAATTGATAAAATTATAGTCTGAATATGTATAATTGCTTTATCATCACTGTATTCAGATTGTGCTTCATTCTTTATCTTATAACTTAATAAGTTATATAACAAAGTATTAGCCGATACACAACATACTGAATAGTGAATACACATGCAAAGTTCTTTATTATTATCTGGAAAATTGACCATTGTTTACTCACCCATCCTTATCTCTTGGTGTATTGTTCTAAAAATATCTAAATCACTCATTCCAAGATGTGCAGACAAATACATTAAACAGCAATCAATCAGGTTTAATTATCTCTGTCTGGGAAGTTATAACATTGTTGGATTATGGACTGATTTTTTGTATAATCTTATACCTTCTCAAGAATTTATAGGTTCTTTTTAGTTTATCAAATTCTGAATGACCTACATTTGTAAAAGTTGACTCCTAAAGTCCTATGGTGTGACATTTACACTTATTACTTATCCCAGTTAATAGTGTGTTGTTCAGGGTCATATTAATTTTTTGTAGGAACATGTCTGTTACATGTACATGCAGTTTGGTTTAGATTTTGCATCTTGCTGTTCAAGTTTATCTATCTCACTTCAGTTGCTGCGACTACTGTCCTAGTTACATGTTCAATATGATACTTGGCTTTGTTGACAAGCAGTAACTGAACCTTGCATTACTTAACGTGATATGTTTCTCATGTAATGAACACTTCTGGTTGTGTTATCCTCGACATTGGGCGGTTACCTCACAGCTGGTAGATAAATATTGACTTCGCAAGTCTATCCATGGTCTTGTGTTTCCTGTACAATTGGTCAGTATTCTCTTGGCTAGACAGACTGGATGTGTTGACTTGTAAACACGCGAGCCATAAAATGTAACTTGTACTGATCCACAAGACAAGCTGCTGGACTAAGCCCTCACAATGCCAGTGTAGTACAGGCCTAAGTTTTTTTTTAAGTTTATGACACAGAATGTTAGACTCTTAATTTTGATATCTGGCATGGACTTGTCTGTTAGTATTAGTTTCTGTCAAAGGAAGCTTGATAATGCTTTGCCTTCCCTTAAGGCCCGGGCCAGACACAAAACTAGTCTGTAATAGTGTTGACAGGTAAACAAACGATGGTCCTTGAATGTCTGAACACACGAAAAAGTTAATGTTTCATATTGTATTAATATTTCATATCTTTATGTTGTACAGTTGTAGCTGGGAAGGTACCCAGTGTAAGTGCTGTTGATATATGACTTTGTAAACTAAACTTCATCTTTATTGCCTGATACAATCAATTACTCTCCTCAAGTACCTGTTAGATTACTAGTGTTTGCAGGTGATTTGAAAAGAACTAGCTTGTAAACGTAGCAGATGGCAGTGATGATATAGAGCGCGAGGTAGAGTGCATGGTTGTTGCCAGGTTCCGTGGCGTGTCATGTCGTATGGGCACTTCTTTTGGCAGTTTTGATTGAACCTATGTCAACATGAGGCGTGCAGAGACAAAGCTGTGTCCATACCAGCGGGGGGCTCCTGGGTAACAAGATAAAGTGCTTAGACCTGGCCATTTTACCGGAGGTAAAACTCGGTTGGAGCATCAAAGATAGAGCTTTTAAGATGCTTCATAGATACTGACCTGAATTGAGCAAGAAATAAAAATATATTTAGAAAAAAGATTTAAAAAGAACTTTGACATTTTCCACTGATTTCCTTTTGTTTGACACAAAACAAGTCCATTGATACCCCCATATTGCACCAGTGGTTCAGCCCAAGACAGGTGTATATCTGAACCTAGCTATTGTTGTTGTCCTTTGGGTCATTAGCTGAGAAGTTATCCTTTGTTGCTGTTGCTAGTGAAGCGTTCGAGCACCCGTGACTATGTCAGCCAACATTTTTTTGTTCTCTCCAATCCCGGGATGAGCACATACAACCGGTGCTGGATTCACCTGCATTCAGCAGTGGTTTGGAGATGTTTGTGACTGTATAGTAGGTTGCAGATTATGTGGACCTGCTTTGTAGCGTCTTGTGGAGTTAACTGCTGTATCCTGTTACTGCCCTGTCCCCTCAGGGCACCTGCTGTCCCTAAGGTAACTGGGCTGGTTGACTAGTACTGAAGAGGCCGCCATTAGGAAAGACTGTCAGACCAACAAAAAGTTACCTTTGCAAGATATGTTCAGCATTTGAAGGGAGTTCTTCTGTTGAACGGAGGATGAAGAAATCAGTCTGGCTGGAGTCATCAGATGGTTGCAAGAAGGGAAGAGGTGTCCAGATGCTGCAGCCTTTACCTGGAATTTCTACATGTGGGTTAAACTGACTGGTCATGCAAAAGAGACCAATTCTTCTCCAAATGGTATTTACCAGTCAATACCATTCCAGTCTGTTCACTGTAAAGGCTGACTATGTCCTGAAGTTCTAGTCCATTTATTCAGGACTGACAGACCAATGCACAGTGACTCTCTGGCTTGCTTCACTGGCTGCCCATGAAAGAGGACATAGTGGCAGACTGATCAACAGACATGAAGCTATGTCAGCTTGACAATGATGTCTGCATTCAGATATGTCTGTGCTTGCAGTCGCAAATTGTGAGGACAGCTTTCTCCCCAAGTTAACTGGTTCGTGCCTGGTTCACAATCTACATCAGCAAACTGGTGCAGAAATGATCCGGCTTCCTCTTATCAAACAGCAGGGCTACCTGGACGCCCTGACTGCTTACTACAGTTATAATAACGGCAAAGCCAAACTTAAAGTTAAAGACTACAGTGGGCAGTATACCAAACTCAAAAAAATTAAAGACTACAGTGGACAGTATAGAAACATGTAAGTACATGCAACTTTGTTATTTATTGTATAGTTCAATACAAGTAGTTGTGCTTTCCATCTTAGGACAACAGAGTAAGTCCATTACCAGGTTTTGCAGTCCGATTTGCTGTTGCTTCAGCTTTCCTCTTTGAGCTCGTCCCAAGCATACTTTCATGGGTTGGCAAAGATGTATACAAGTGACATGTTTATATAAATGTCTAGAAGTGTCCTTTGGCTGAGTATACAGTACTTAACAGGTAAAATAAGGTAAAGACAACAAGGAAGCTTTATGTTGATGGTAGCCTGTTAAAAATGTATTAGAAGTGGAAGATGATATTTCTAAGGAAACCATAGAGCAAATAGGCTGTCTTGAGTGAATCTTGAGAATCTTTGAAGTTACAAGAAAGAAAGGAGGAGATGGCAAGATTATTCAGGTACCAAGTGTATGAAGTTTTATTCCTTATGACAAGTGTTAACTTACTATGGTAACATGTCCTATCCGAGAGACATCCCTAGCTAACCAAAGCTAGGTACTGAGTGAAGTGAGGAAAGTCGTGTTAAGTGCCTTTCCCAAGGGCACAAGATCAGTGGCATCGGACAGGATTTACTATGGCAACATGTCCTGCTTGGAAACCCTTGAGTGAATGTTTCCTGGTAACCAGGCAGGGGAGTGAGGCTTTGTGTAGGTGACATGTCATCAGTGACATTAACAGTCCTCCGGTGAAAGAAACACAATCCAGGTGTGCAGCTCATTAGACTTTGATGAGCGAGGACCATGCTCTTTAACAACTCCATGTCTTCAAATCACAGCACAACAGGAATGTGTTTAGACTACAGAATGGGCGGGCTTTTGTATGTACTGGTAATGAAGAGAAAGTTCACCTTGAGTTAATTATGTTAAACCTGGTGTTCATATATACCTACAGTGTACATTAACTTGATTAAGAAGTCAAGTTACAATGAGGTTTGAAAGAAAAATGAGCTCAAGTTTTGGGCAGACATTTTGAAGACTGATGCCACTTGGACCTTCATGTCAATTTAAGTCAACGTCAGAAATGATTTGAAAGCTTTTTTCTTTACAGGCACAAGTTGAAAACACATCAATCATGACATCTATGTCGTTAAACTATCTTTGTACTGTTCCTGCTATAGGTTAGGTACTGGCTGCCAAGGACAAATGATGAAAGAATGCCCCCTACCAATTGATATCAGTATTACAAGTAAAAGAGACTGGCCTCTACTTTTTCTTGCCAGTGTAATAAGTTCAGAGGTGTTTGGTATCTTAGTGTCAACATCACAAGTAAAAACAGAAATCCAGACCAGTTCAACTACTTCTGCGAAGCCGTGTTTATTGATCCATATGCTTACTCAACTAACTGCAGACTCTTTCTTTTCCAGTACAACCTCCCCCAGTAGTAACCACTTCAACCGTGAGGATCTGTCTCCCCAGCATCTGAGAGAGCCTCTATTTTCCCTTTCCACATCTGATTCTGAAGTTAGATTGTAAATGCAGATTCTTACTTTTCTCTTCCAGTACAACCTCCCCCAGTAGTAACCACTTCAACCGCGAGGAACTGACTCCCCAGCGTCCGGACCGGAACCTCTCCACCTCCACCACCACTACCTCATCACATGACTTCCGCACTCTAGAGGAGCGGGAAGATCGACCAATAGGAAGCCAGTATGGTATACCACGGATAGACCAGGACAGAGGTATGTTACTTCTGAAAATACACGTAGTTTCATCAGGTTGATAAGAGTATAGGATATAGGGGTTTTCTTTTACACAACCAAACTATTCCTACCTTGCTTACACCAAGCGAGGTAGGAATAGTTTGGTCATGTAAAAGAAAACCCCTATATCCTAGAGGTATGATATGTTTTGTCACTAATAGTTTAACATTATTTTAGGTTAACAATATTCAGTTAAACCATTCAAATTCTAGACAACCCACTGACTTCCTTTGTTCAAGCACAGATTCTGCGTCCACAGTTTTGATTTTTACCCTTAACAGATGAAATTGTTTTCCACTGAAGCAGGTATATAGCTTGTTTTCTTAGTCACTGACCTTGTCTTTCAAACCAGTGCACACCCCCTGGCTAGAATGGGAGTGTCCACACCTATGGAATGATAGATTACAGTACCCAGCTCCATACTATCTTACTTTCTGCAGTTAATGCACCAGGTAAGATCTCACAGGAGATAGAAGTATGGGAACTTGATTGTGATCTGAGAGGCCAAGCCCTCACCCTAGCAGCCAGTCCATTTGGAGGGAATTCCATTCTTGTCCATTAAACCTTTCCCTTGTCCCAGTTGTAGGATTAATGAGGACTGCAGTAAGCCAAGGTCTCCATCCCATATTGGGTACCAGGTATTTAATCTAGACTAGTGCTTCAGGCTAATTGAATTTGTGGGTCTCCATCCATCCAATGTTGGCAGTGTTCAACCTCCCAGCTTATTGTGTGGGGAATTGGAATTGAAGTTAACTGCTGTTACGTGTTACTACCAGGGATATATCATATACATGTATTGAGATATGGTGAAAATTATATTATGTGTGTTATCAGTAAGTGGAAAAAGGCTGCATAAGTTATGATTAGGTATGTGGCAGTTCATACACCGAGTCCCAAGTGCATGGCCCTATCAAACTATAGAGAGCTGTTTGTGCTATATCATACAAAATGTAAGAGAAGACCATGTTAACTGTAGTTTAATAACATTTCAACTTCTTTAATCTGTAGATAGTTTCCTTTTTTGAGGCTTTTGTAACGTGTGTATTCTTTCTTTGACTCCCCCCTCTTTTGAAATGGTCTGACCCATCCCTAATTTGGCATTTCTATTAGTGTGACAAGCGGCATTGGCCACAATTTGGTGGTAAATATTTAATACCTCTCTAATTACACAAACACAAAGAGTTGCTACAATACCAGAGTAACACTACCCACACGGCCTAAGACAACGGTTACTGCAGTTCCTACGGCCATGGCCTACGTCCTGTTAGTGCCTGGACGCAAAGAAGGCTTCTTATACAGGCAGTATGCAAGGACACCTGTATGTAAGACACGTAAGTACTCTATAGATTGGTGTACAAGCTTTTCTAGGAAAGGATGTGCCCTAACTCAGTGTTCGTTGTTGCTTCTGGGGAATTTTCACGGTTTGTTGAACTCGGGCGAGGTGTTTGGCCTTGCAGGCTAAGTGGTTGGCGCCTTCTTTAGTCAAATGGTATATATTTGTACTCCATACCTGACAAAACAAGGCTGTTTCTTACATTGTACATGTTAGAAGGGCCTGGAGAAAGAATTTTTTGCATGCCAGAAAGCATTACTAAAACTGCCTTATGTTATGAGAAAGTAGTTTTGTACACACAGGATGAGTCAGTGTACATGTTGTAAGCGTACATGTAAGGCTGTATGCTGGTATCATGTTTCAGGGAAGACTTTCTGTCGGTGAAAGTGCTAGGTAAGAACTGGTGGAAAACAAGGGTCCTGTTAGTGCCAGTTGTCAGTAGGGAAGACCCATTACATGCAGGATGAGTACATGTAGGTGTAAGAGTGTTATCATGGAAGACTTTCCTGGTGAGAGTACCAGGGAAAACATGGAATTAATTTGTCAAAAGGGGAAGCCCATTACATGGTCATTAGTGTTGATATAATCAGAGTTTAATATTTCATGAAGACTGCCAGCAGTGGTGTAAAGCAAGGCAGGAAAGATAGTTGCCATGAAGACAAAAACAGTGTTCCCTTGTGACAAGTATATCATGACTCATACACCATTCATATCATCTAGATCAGACTCAGGGCCGCCAATTAGAAAAGATACACATCATGATTTATTGATATTATTTGTCATGTACACATACTCTTGTTACTAAGTGCCTTTTGTAATTTTAGTGTTTGTCTTTTGTAATTTTATCATTTATCTTTAATAGCAAAACAGTGCTACTACAAGCATATGCGATTACTAGTAAGCCAACCCCTTGTACTTTATAAGTACAGTCTTTGCCATAGCATGAGATGCCTTACAAAGAGAGAGTGTCATGTACATCTAATATTGCTTGTTCCTAACAACATAAAAGCTTTATAATCCAATTACAACATCAGAATCAAATAGCGCATGAGATCATACTTCAGGCAATTCCTTTCCAGTGGGGGGATGGGACCCAAAGCCCAAACAGATTTTTGACAGAATTTTTGTGTAAAATGTTTGGGATAAGACTATCCAAACTATTGCTACTGGATAATTTGAGCCCTGCTCACTCAATCAGAACTTGAATAGTAGTTGCACACAGTCTAATCCACTTTCCCTGTCCAGTGGTTCTGTCAACACAAAAGACAAACACTGCCGCAGCACAGGCTGCCTCCATCTGTAGGTGTGGAACAAAAGGATTCAAACATGAGTCATGGCTGGATTACATGTTTCCTGATTGGGAGGGTGGGTGCAGCTAATGAGAGTCGTGCTGGCGCATATTGGAAGTGATTTTCAGCCGTCCTGGGAATATGTGTGGAAGTTTTGTAAAGTTTGTTGTGAAAAACTAAATATAGTCTTAAGCTTTCCTATGTGTTTTATCAAAACATTGAGTTGCTAAGTACTTTTAGAGTGTTTCTAACAAAGGGGCATTTATTAACACTAGAATGATCTCTCTAATCTACATGAAGTACAGAATTGTGTAAGTATACATGTACCAATTAGGCTTCAGAGATGAGTTGCAGCTATGCTGGTCCACACAGCTACTACCTAGCTATTAGCTCTTAGTATGAGTTGTCTCAAAACTGGTTTTCAGGGACTGAGTCCATGAAAATTTGCATCAGATGAAGTTGGTCCATTTCCCATTGAAGCCATTTGTCATTGTAATTCTGAGTCAGAGTTAGCACATAAGCAAAATGTGAAGGATCACTTAATAAAGGTGAAAAGGGAGTCATGAAAAGCATTTTGAAAATGACCCCATCATAAACACATCATATCAGGTTTATTTCATAAAAAAACACATAGTAGCCATGGGCTGAATTGATGTGTTTCTGTACACATTGTGATTTAAGTTGCTTAAAGTAGAGCTAGTGTTTTGACTTATCAGTTTTACTAAGTAACTTTAAAGAAAATATTGACCTCATTATAAATCAAGTGATACATGGTGCTGAAAATCTAGGTGTTATTGATGTAAAAGTTATTACATTTTTCAGAATAGGAACTGTGCTTAATTTTTGACATAGTCAAAATTTTAATTTTGACATAGTCAAAATTGTAATTCAATATAGAAATGTAAAAGATAGTGACAACAGAAAAGCTAATGTGTCAGAGTTATATGATTGAAGTTACTCCACTCCTTGTGTCAGTGAAACTATATCTAGAAATTATGCATCATCCGTAGATACACAGAATGTGATTTATAACGTTCATTAGATACCCCAGAAATTCCCCTGCTCATTGTGGGGTATATTAGCATGCCAGTTTTCCCTTATATTGCATGAGAGTGAGATATGTAACACATTAAGGTATATTAGAGCAAGACACAAATGCAAGTTTGGCCTCTTCTGCAGGAAACAGCTGCACCTTATCTACATTTTTATGAAGTAGAAGTTAAATGATTGTACCATGGCTGCCCTTCATGCCCAGAGTTATGTACAATGTATGAATGAAGATGTATTTGTTCTCAACATTGTCAATATCCGAGGTATTATAGCATTGACTTTTTCCTGTAGTCTAATTCGTTTCAACACTGTAGAGGACTACATCAATGTTCTGTGTCACCAGTTGAAACATGAAAAGCAAATCGTACAGTGGCAGTTCAAACATTTCTCACACAGAGGCACCATTAGCCTGTCCAGTGCCCCGTGGATGCTGTATTGAGCTGTTGTACTTGGAGTAAATGGAACGTATCCCACCAGCCCTTATTGACGGCTCAACTTGACCTGCAGGGCATTCAGGAAAGTAAGGACTGAGTTTTGAGGTTTTGCTGCAATTTCGTTTCAGATCCTGATCAGCTTCCGTTTCAGATAAGGCCTAGGAAAAAAAATGTGTTTCCTGAATTTAAAAGATGATGACAATGATGAAGCCATATATTCCCCCATCTAATATCTCCAACAAACCTAATAACTATGTCAATTCATGCTGGAATAGTCCACTATCCATAAAGGGAATTGGGATTGATATTAAACTTTAGAGAATAATAATATATTTGAAGCTTAATTTCTACCAAACCTGTTGAACCCAGAATGATATTACATGCCACTTCATTCCCTATACTAGTACTACGTCAATGTGAACCTCACAAATGGCAACCTCCTGAAAATCGATTTTCACTTTTTTGTTTTTGCTGCTGTTTAGTTGTGTTCCTTCCCATGACCTGTCAGGTCCAGTCCCAGCATAGTGGATTGATGTGTACCACCTGGCCTGCCCTGCCACGGGCAATATACATCCTCTCATTTACCCTCTACACTGTACACATTTGCATGGGCCATTTTACCGCATTGATTTCGCCCCCACTACATGGTGATGCACTCTGTTGTAGATTGGCAGCAACATGTTTTTGGCTATAGAACATTCCAGATGGGTCTTGTGTCTAGGTTTCTTGGTTTCAGACCAAATTTATACCTGCAGGGTCACCCCAATGTAGCAGTGGTTTTGCCAGGTCTCCTGTGTATCATATAATATAGAGTGTTGACAGTGACAGTGAATGGGGAGAAATGGAGGTTGTGAAATATTGGAGAATGGCGCATGAAGGAAATTGCTTGGTCTCTTATGAAGTATTGGAGAATGCCCTTACAGCATACGGGATCACATGCACTTGGGAACCTTATGGCCCCCCTGATGGTTTTTATGGTAAGATATCTTTCAACCCAATTTGCTCTGGTGATAACTAACGATATTTGTACATGTACAGACACCTTCCTGATATTATGCCTTGCTATTATTGGTTAGAATAATGAATTTTATATAGGGATTGAACAAGGATTATTATATACATGTATCACAATCATGAATATTCGTAAGTGTGGATCGTTCATCTACATGTAGAACATCACACATTTTTGTTACATGCACATGAAGTGATGTGTAGTAGTAGGGGTTGTTACACAGCACAAGGCAGAATGTACTGCACCTGCGCAAAAACCGTAATGTATTGTGCATAGCACTTCTGCAGAATGTCTCGTATAAAGTCAATCGTATTCGCGCATATAAAGTTAATCTGTAGTTTCCAAGTCTTAAGTCGGAAAAGATATCTTCTGCCACAGGGAGAATTCTGATGCAATGTTGACCAAAAATCCCACGAAAAACGTGTGACATTTGGGTTTTGCACAGGCGCAGTACATTCTGCCGACGTGCTCTTTTACACTATCAGCCCGTCCTTTGTTCTGTTGCATCCCTAACACTGCAAATGACAAGATTAGAGTCCATGAATATTTCAACAGACGCTCCCGGCACTGAAGCACGTCCAACATCAGACAGATAAGAGGAACTGTATCACGTGCTGAGGACATTACATTGATGCGCGTGCCGTTACGGGGCGTATTTTGTGATGATAATCTTTGGAGTCAATCCCATGAACGGCCATGCATGGATATCGAACAGTGTCCTTTGACACTGACCTTATCCCTTACCTAACATTACAGGGAAGCTGATGTGATGACTCATTCAGGACACTGATATACATGTACAATACGTGTACATGTAGCATTTATAAGTGTCCAAATTTTGAAGCTTTCTCAGTTCACTCTGAAAGTGATTTTGAATACAGTGGAACATTATATTTTTTTGCCTTCATGTTGTTGACAAACTGCCAGGATCCATTTCTGGGAATTGCTTCTCATCTATTATTTAACACAACAACACAGGCTAGGTGATTTCTGGTTCAGTAAGCACACTGATACTAGTAACTGTTTTGGGTGATGTACCTCTGGGCATGGATCCTGAAACAGGTAGATGTAAATATGATTTCAGGATCATTGAACCACGCAGAAAGGCTGTTCATAAATGTGTGTGACTCTGTAATGTATCATTAAGGTGAAGGGGTCAGTGTGTATGGATGTAATGTCTTCTATGCCCTGGAGCTATTGTCCTGTAAGGTTGCAATGATACATTTGTACATGTGAATATTACCGACCTGTTATCACTGGTGATCTGTTTAACTTATGCTGGAAGGTTCATCATTCTGCACACAGAGACACAGGGTATTTCAGACCATGTGATCTCTGTCTGAGAGCACATTTCTGTAACACACAAGGTTATTCTAGATCAGGGGATGATAGCACACATGTACAAAATTGTATGCTGATGTTTCCTTCAATTCGATTGTATATCTTTGAACATTAGACGAAGAATTGAGGCAAGTGGAAATGTCCACGATGGGACTTAGGAAACCAGGTACATTGTTAGCAACAGTGTATGTGTAAAGCATGTTCATGTAGATTCTTTTTTTTTAACCTTCCCACATGTTTACCTCCTAGCACTTAGAGCTGATGAGAAATCTAAGGATGGTGCAAAGTGGAACGCGTTCAAACCCACATGGGAGCGGAATGCAGGGATCCACAGCTCGTCCTACATCCTACGGGACACGGTTCCCGCACCGCACACTCAGGTAGGCCGCCCCGGCAGCCATCTTGCTTTACCGCCATGTTTGTATTTATCCAGTTCGGAGGGGTTTGTTGCGGTCGTCAGACCAGAGTTGTAACGCCGGGCACCTGAGGGAGTCCTGTGTCTCGAGAGAGTCACCCACTTTCAGCAATGCTTCGGTGAGAAACGCTGCACGTCGCTCTTTCATCAGCCTGCTTGTGTAGACAGCACAATCACTCCAGGGCACACTAATGTTTAATACACACTGTAGAGTGGTGAAGTCAATATGTACACTGAGCACATCTAAAAACGTGCACATCTACAAATGTGCATGTGTGTCAAGGAATAAACAGCATCGGTGTATAGGCAAAAATAGTGGTGTTCCCAGTAATTGAGTGGGATTTTGTATACATGGACATGGAGTCCACTGTTTGTGACACTGCTGGCTTTTTGCACATGATAGACTGACCGGGTGTTTCACATGCCTGCCTGGAAGTTAGCAGCATGATGTTAGCAGAATGATGCTGTAGTGCTATCCCTGCCTTCCTGGTAGTACTTTGACATTGGAAGGCTATATTTTTTACAGTCCCAACCATGGCCAAGAGGAAAGGAGTTTAAGGTACATGTATTTATGTTTGCATTTGATAATTATTTCTTTCAGAAAGCAGGAAGGTCGTTGACCTACACATAACCTCTCCTGTATGTCTTCCTCAGATCAACGGCATCTCCCTGTCCAGAAACAGTAACACAGGGATGGGGCTGGGGAGAGGGGACGAGCTTCCGCTGGCTCTAGGAGCCTTGTCACTGTCATCCCCTGTCAGGAGGAGAGAATCCAGTCCTAAAGCACCTCCCAAGTAAGTATAGAGTAGGGGAACTCACAGTAAAGGATCTGTATTCCAGCTGCAGGCCGCAAAAACATGCAGAAAGGAGATAAATGTAATCTCTTAGCAGATAATGGTCAGGGCTATTTTGTGGTGCACATTTTGTTCTCGTTTGCTGTCCGCTAGTGAAGCAGGAGAAAGTGTGGACCACAGAATAGCTCTGACCACTTTATCTCCATCTGGAGATTAAAGATGAATAAGTTGCTCGAATGTTATCTTAGGATATCTTTCCATTTATCACTGTTGTGTCTTTAAAAAAATGGTTGACCATTTGTTGGAATAGAACTGACTGAATGAATTTATTTTCTTCAGGTGGAAACTTGAAAGCAAGACTTCCTTATCAGCACCAGCCGGTCAGAGATGTAAGTACAATTCTGTTAGCCTCTATGATGCACCACAAATTTATTAATCTTTTCAACGATAATGAAGAAGTTTAAATTATAGTTGTGACCAAAATATAAGTCCTTGATCAAACCCTAGTAGACAAAATCCTTGAGCTGTTATATGGTAAGGCTGGATATTTTTCATAGAAGTTGTTGAGATTTGGTGGCATGTTTAACAGTCACTTTATGTAACATACTATAAGTTTATCAAATGTTGATCCGTTTTTATTGTTCCACTAGCTAAGTACCCTGACCCCGTGTCTGGAGCACCTACCAACTTCCAGCAGAGACTAGCAGAGCTTTCCGTCCTGGAGCAGGACACGATACGATATGAGCGGACTAAAAAGTCAAAACGGAAGGCCAAACAAGACAGAGACTCCTAGGAACATGTGTTTTGTCGTTTTTTGATGTTTCCCTGTGGTGTTTGCTTCCGAAACACTGTTCCGAGCTTTGTTACATTGTTACATAGATATATGTGTATATATGGGACCTACATAGGAATGCAACGAGAGAGAGGGAAAGAATGGCAGACATATTGCATCAAAGGTGCAGGATCAGCTGAACAAAAGACAGAATCTGCAAACATACCATACCTGGTCAAACCTGGAGGAACTGACGGTGCAGGACTGTGTTGTAGCAGCGCCACCTGTTGAGTTACATACAAATTGCAGAGGATTGAAGCTGCTGGAACTGCTTGGAGTACCATAATGTGCTGCGTGATGTACTAAGTGCAGCAACACCACCATACATCCGTTACACAAACTGCAGTCAACGCTGTACAGTGAACAACCTGTTACTGAGTGAAGTCTTGATGTAAACCAAATATTTGCTGGCAGGTTAAGATTGCTTGCATCTTGCATTGCTTGCAAAGGCAGTCATCGTGATGCCACTGAAACTACTCACCATGGAAAGTTGTAGCTACAAACTTGGAAGTGATTTAATACCGCTGTATCTACAAGTGTGATATGTTGTTCAAGGTCTGACCAAGTTACCATTGTCCCACATGGGCACAGCGTCATGGGGACATGCTGTGACTGCAGCGGCAGTTTTGCAATGTACATGTGTGAAAAACCAGTGCCAATCTTAATGTGCATTAATGCACACAACAGTGTAGATCCGAGGGGCATAGGAGCAAAACTTCTCAAGCAAAATGTCAGAAAGGAAAGGACCAACGATAGGCATAGTGTTTTGTTGAGGGTCACATTAGTACACTCCACTGTACAACTTTTCAACACTTCTGGTCGGTCAAATTTTTCAGTCTTCCTTTTGGAATAAGCATTACACAAGTTTATTTATTCTGAAAAAAAATGTAGGTCTTTGTTTTATAGGACTTTTCCACGCACAAGTTTGCCCCTTTGATGTACACTGCTGAGTGCGTTTCTAGCGTCTTGATGTCTGTTAAGTGACGTTGAGAGTCTATAGTGCCTACAAAGTTTGACTAGTGATGGTAGGTAGGTAAAGTGTGTACTTGTGCAGATGTCAGTATGTTGTGAGTAGATAACGTGTTAGCTGCTAGCATCAACCTTGTGTGTGTTGTCTAGATAGTCTGTTGTTAGTAACAATATCTAGTGCTGTAAACCACACATGACATGTCATATGGTACATATTGGAGCTGAATACTTTGTAGGCTTGTATTGTAAAGTGCAGCTCTAGGTTTGAAACGACTTGAAAGTTCTGTTCTTATGTACTGGTTTAGTTCACTTTAAACTCAAATGCTATAGTCTAACTACATGTAGGCTATCCTTATTAAAGAACTCTGCTCCAAAGTAAGTCTGGCACCTCTGCTGTTGTGATGTCTCACTGTGATGTCTCCACCATGAAAGGTACATTATTACAGTGTTAAATGTGTTGTAGCCATACTGTGCATGTTACAGACAAGCACTGAGGTATCATTCCAGTTTGACTTTCCTGCATGTCAACACAGATTTCAGTTCCATTTCTACTTCTACAGGTGTGTACGTAACTACTACTACATACTTCTGATTGAACACTCAACATTGGTGACATTGATGCAAAATTTGTTATCAGCTTCAAAAGACTAGGGTAGTGTCAGAGAAGATTCACTGCCAATGTTAATATTTCTGTCCTGTTTGCATTCAAAATCTTATTGTCTGGTACCTTTTATTTTCCACAACTTTGCCAGAAGAAATGCCAGGCAATGTAATAAGAGCAGGCATGAAATTAAGAATAAAATACCATGGATAACACACAGCATTGCTCGCCCATGTTCTTCACAGTTGAGGGGGCACACTCCAGTTTATTTTCGGTCTCAGACTCAATTCGATTCTGCACACCCTCAGGTCTAGCGACCATCTCTTTCAGGAAATAATTCTGAGGCAAAAATACTGACATTTTACCGTGCACTATATACCACGGACCCCTGTCGCGGAAGAATTGGTATATGCACAACAGCACAAGGCAACCTGCATGGCAGTGGTTGCTTTCTAATACCCCTCCATCTTCGAAGAAGGATAAAAGACCATAAGTTGATTTCCAGTCTGTCTGAACCCAAAGTGATATTTACTGCAGTCTGTAACTCCTTGCGGCCGGGTTGGGGCATCACAACAGTTTCTTGTGACCCAGTTCTCTGTTATGAGAAGTGCCCACCTGCGTACTCATGTCCGCACTGACATCTTTGTTCGCAAAAACCCATTAATGAGCTCATTCCTCAAGACAGTGAGTTGTTTCCGATCCAGCCGTTGCCAATGCAATGAGAGGAAGAGAGTCTTTTGTTTTCTTGTTTCTACTATCATCTCCGTTAAACCATTACGATTTCAAGTAGGCGTCGCCAGGGTGGAGAAAAAAAAGAGTTACGTTTCAATTTTCCAAACAACTAAATGACTGCAACGTCTGCCATCAGATGAGGTAGTGGCACATGTAGGTTGATTTAACTAAAAGAAAATTCACATGATACCTGGATTTCTCTCTTGGTGACTTCTGTATTGTATGCTAAGAGGTGACTTCAAGGACAGGTTGTGGCACGTCAAAAACCTTAGGTGGGCATGCCCGTAGCCAGGATTTTGAATGGGGGGGTTCTTCCCACTGCTGGAGGGGACCTCGAGCGCGAGATTCCTAGGGGGGTCCGGGGGCATGCTCCCCCGGAAAATTTTGAAAAATGAACCTTCTAAAATGGCATTTCGTGCGTTTTCAAGAGGATTTCCAAGAAAAAATCAGAGATAGATTTTTATTCAATGACAAAGGGAGCAGTTTTTCTACATAAAACGTGGACCAAAAAGTGGACCTTTACATAAAATGTGGACCAAAAAGTGGACCTTTACATAAAAAGTGGACCAAAAAGTGGACCTTTGAGCCTTGTGGGGGGGTTCTTCCGAACCCCCCCTGGCTACGGGCATGGTGGGTATAGCCCGGCAACATGTACATCAGGAAATACATGTACATTGTAATTTGGACACATTTACATTCTAGGCATATACTGCAAATGTCAGGTGAGAATTTACTGAAGAATATCTACGAACGACACAAGGAAATTCTGAAAAGTTTGATATAAGCGCACGTTATATATTAACTACTGGACGTTTGTCCCACGATCCTCATGTGATCCTAATTGTAGTATCGCATAATATTATTTATAATATAGTATAGTATAATGTATGACATATCGCCAATCGATTAGTCGACAAACATAAACTGGTAAAACGTCACTAGGGAACACAAAAATACTTTGCGTAGCTTTCCCTTCAAGTGTTGACTGTTGGCTCCGCACAAACGTACTCAAGTGACCATTTGGCTCTCCAGCGGAAAGGTGTTACGGTTGCTGCGAACAAGAACTGGCCGAAGGGCGAGACGAACGCATCTTAACTGTAAACCAAGAAGCCGTGAAACACTCAAGCCGCCAATTCGCAACAACTTGATTTTTCATTCAGCCGCGCCTTCAGTCACGTAGCGCAGGTGAAAGTGTGGCACAACAGGGAAGTGTTTGGAAGAGTCTGGCGGTTCACTCAGTATGGCTTCCTCTCTCCTCTTGAACAACTGTCTTCTCCTGCGGACAGCGTGCAGACCTGGCTGGTAAGCTGACCTTTTTCAGTTTAGAATCGGATAGAAATCACGAGCGCTTTAACAGAAGTCAAATCAACTACTGCTAACAATAGGAAGTTCGCAAACGACGAAAAATGGCTGCGTACGCAGTGGCAAGTGACCATAAAAGATTGATGGCGAAAACATGGACCTTGTCCAAAATAGACGAGGTGTTACGGATAAACATTTGACTGGTTTTAACAAATTCAAGCTTTTGTTCATATATCTAAATCACAAAAATATACGAGTTCAAAACGAAAACTTGTTTTTCTACACCAAACAGAACCATACCATTAGTGCGTTTCTTTTATACATTTAAGGTATCTCGACCCCCTACGCAATGTTATGGTAGCGTGGTGTACAGGCGCTACGTGCATCAGTCTCTGTTCAGTATAGGTAATGAAAAGGCTCGATTTCTTCAATGATGTCTTGGGATTAGAAAAATGTGAGATTGAAAGAGGACATGGGAATTTGTGCAAGAATGAATACGCATTCTCAATACTCAGTGTGGCCTGATTCAGAACGATCCAGAAAGGACGTTCCGCAGAAAAGTTCTTGAAGTACCAGTCTGTAAAAACATCCCACAGTTGAACAACAAATGTAATAAAAACAAACCTGGTAACCTATGGAAACCAGGTAAATGTGGGCCTCTGTTTTCGGGTGGATACAAAAACCTACACGTACGTAGACGCTTGTTCAGAGAACGTGTTGGGTTTGGAGGTGCTGAGCTGATTTTGGTCAGGTAAGACTGCTAATCGTCGGACTAACCTTTCGTTTAAATCTTCTTAACAAGAAGACTTGAAATGGTTTCCTCACCAGAAATCTTCGTAATACATGACATTGAGTAGTTATCCCAAAGACGCCCACTGTGGACGAAAAGGGAAGAATGCAAGCGAATACACGCACACTGACAATCACAAAAATACAACAAACATTCTATGATTACATGTTACGCATTCATCAGTCAGTAACGAGTTTTTTCTCTTCATTTGCAGAACTTGTAGACGAGACAAAAACGGACCAGCCTGCCAACTTTGTCGCCAGTTTGAGGTGCAAACGTGTTCAAACGAGATGCGCCCGAGGCCGTGGATTTCCTGACTATACACATATCATTTCGAACTTACAAATACTAGCAAGCTCCGACGTGTCCAGTTAATTGATCTAGATCTGTAGCTGAAGACTTTGAGGAATTTTCTCACGTCTAGTGACGTGGGACAGTGACAAGTTACGTCTGTTTCGGATACAGCAAGTCTTCTGTGGCCAGTAAAACCAGAGACGAAACTATGACTTTTCCGTTCAAAGTTCTGTGGTTTTTGGCCGCGGCACACCTGTTGCTGGGCCTCCTAGCGGTGTCGCTTGGAGTCGCAGACATCGTGACTCACGTGCAGGCAAACCCGGGCGGGGGGTTTGAAGTCAGCTTACTCGCAGCGCCCATCTGGTGTGGGATTTCCGTGAGTACTTCTGATTTAGGTTTTAATCCACCAATTCACTTTTCCAATGCTCAATGGCATCTGTTTGAAAAGCATAACCCGAGTTTGATAAAGATGCTACTAACTAACAGCAACAAAAGGTCAATAGCTATTTCTTTTATCGCCTGTTGATCGTGTTGATAATATGTTTGTAGTTTTGTTAATCATCGTCAGAATCATGTAAACGTACGTCTTCAACAAGCCGATTTTGCAACTACAAATGTACAGTGGGCAGCGCAGGTAGTTTTCTTCAACGCAGTAGGCAGTGCTGCAAAGTTAACTTGAAGCAGCATCTTTAATAGTATGGTGGAGATCTCGGGGAAGGTAGTTGCTGCTACCCTTTTCTGTACCGTTCCAAGCTAGGGCACAGGAAGTATAGTTGTTTTAACTTTTTTAATATATATGTATTTGTTCCTGTGTAGTTCATGGTTGCAGGAGTACTGGGCCTACTGGTGTCGCCCTATAAGCCAGATGTCCAGGAACAGGTAAGATGTCATGTTTTCTCAAGATTTCAGGCTTCACACAGAACATTATGAAAATAATGTGTCTGCTACTGTTGAGTCCACTGTCCATGAACTATCTGGTTCCACCAACTGTGTTGTCTTTCCAGACCCGAAAGCAGTGGATCAACTGCCTCATCAACAGCATCCTGTTTGGGCCTGTCATGTTCATCATCGCCATGGTGGATCTCTTCCTGGTAAGTCCGTCTTTCCTCTTTACTTGGGAGACCAAATATGTGCCAAAGATGGAACGTTACGTCTTAGTTCCCAATACGTAGGTTTAGCCATCGACGTATTTTGCTAAAATACGACGTAGATTAGACAACGACATATTTTGTGAGTTCCTGAAATACATGTACTGCTGAAATGCAATGTAGTTAGAACGCATATACGTTGCTGAACGTGAAAAGCTAATAGGTCACCGACCCACGGTTTGTTCGTCGGTCGAAAAATGCTAGCATTTGGGCCGTAAAGTACAGTTTAGCCATACCTCAGGCAGATACTCAGACCATACGGTAAAGTAAGGGGCAGGTTTTGATGCTGACTTCTCCCCCTATAGGAGGTGCGGTCAACCTCCATACTTGACCGTAACATTTCGTTTGAGATCGGGTTCATTATCATCTCCGTGGTGGAGATATGGTGTGCCCTGGGCTCAGTCGCCCTCTACCGGATGTACAAGGCACCGAGGCAGGTCAAGGAGGTGAGTGTACAGTGGACTTTAGTTGTGTTTCTTATAGAAGGGAATGTATAGAAGGGAATGAAACATATGTCACTGGTCATCGTCCTTTTGTCAATGCCCCTTTCCACGTACTGATATGTAGTACACAGTGTATTGATCAATAGCAACTTTTTGAAAAAAGTTACAGTTTCTATAAGCAATGCTACCATTTTGCTACAAGTTGAAACCTGTCTTTTTTTCTTCACTGACAGCCTAAGGAAGGTGAGTTGAGGCTGTCCCCACTGTCACTGGTGGCCCGTCACTGTACCTGCTGCCATGCCTGCCTGAACAGGAGGAGGCATCCTAAAAACAGCTGGGTCACAGGTGGGTTCTTAACCAAAACGCTATTATAATATTAGTGCATGCAAAACCTTTGAAACGTTAATGATTTCAAGATAATGTATATCATATCCAGGGAATTTGAGGTACCCTGTATGATAATGAGAGTCAAACCAAGCACACAAAAATCTGTGTATAATACACTTTTTGAGGGACGTTTATAGGACTTGATGCTTTTGCGCAAATGACGCCACTACAGCCTGGTGGTACCTACACATAACTTCCTGTCCAACAGGTGATGATGACACAGAGGTGGTCATCACTTCCTCAGGTGCCGGTCACTATGAGAACGAGTCGGGTGTCCAGCCGCTCCCCGAAGACGCCTCTCCCGAGGAGAAGGAGCTGTTCCTGGTGGCAAGACGTCTGGAGGAGGAGAACAGCCGCATGCAGAAGCAGCTGAAGGTCAGAACACTGCAGGCCAAGGTCAAGAAGCTACAGGTGTGTACAGGGCTTGCTCGTGAGTTACATATACATGTACCGGTATGTGGGGTTGTGTGGCGTAAGGGCAGATCATTCTGATTAGAACCAAGAGGTCCCGGGTTTGAATCCTGCCACGTCACCAACCTTGTGCCCTTAGGAAAGGCACTTTACATGACTTGCTTCACTTTGCTCAGGTGAACGTTAATGAGTATGCCAGAATGATCATTATCATGATCATGGGCATTAAAAGAAAAACCAAAACATGTACCCCACAAGGGGGATTGAAAAGGGGCTTTTTGGCACTTCTATCCTAAAGTTTACAAAATCTCTAATAGTAATCATTAGTTTGTGACTTTGTGTGAAAACTCTTTTGTTTTACAGCAAAACAATCGGGTCCTGTCACAACAGCTCAACAAGGTGCATGATGGCGATGCTGATGCAATACTCATCAAAGGTGGGATGTCATTTACCATCATTCTGTGCATGTTCGTTTGAAGGGTTTGAAGCAACATATCTAATTGAAAATATTTTAAAGAAATACCTACAATGTATATGATGGTATCCTATCCTAGATGTTTTAGAAGTACTTAGTTTTGCCACATGGCTGCTTCGGCACATTATAAAGTGTGGGCATGAAAACAGATAAGAAAGTGTGTGGGCATAAAAACAGATTATATAGAAAGTAGGAGTAGGTTCCGTTGGTAAAATCTGTTACACAAGACTACCTATATGCTGCCTTTCCCTGAAGATGTAGCACCCTCCAGCACACAAGTGCACCATGGGAAGGAAAGGCAGCAACAGGCAGCCCTGTCTGACAAGAGCCAACATAAGCAGGCGGGAACGAGAGACAAGAACAGGGCAACATCTGCCGTCAAAAATGGGCACCAAAGGGGAAACTTGAAGGCAGAGGGTGCAGGAAAAGCCGATAAACTTGAGACAATTGATGAGACTCAGAGTAACAGTGATAAGAAATCTGAGATAAACTGTGAAGAGTGTGGGGAGCCAGCTGAGAAACACAAACAAAAGACTGACAAGGAGAAGTCTGAAGAGCCTCGGAGTAGCAGTGAGGACAAAGCTGAGACAAGTAGTGAGACTGAGGAGCCAGCCGCAGAAGAGGTCACACCACAGGAAGATACACCCGAGAAGCAAACCATTACAGCTGATGTACATGTAGAGGACACAGTAGAGGAGACACAAGACCTGTCACCTGAACGTGGTGGGGTTTTATGTAATGATGTCTGTCTGCATGCTGATTTCTTCTACGTCAATTGTGTTTCTTCTACGTCAATGTGTTTCTTCTACGTCAATACGAAATAAACTTCAAACTTCAAACGTCAATGTGTTTCTTCTACGTCAATGTGTTTCTTCTAGGTCAATGTGTCCTTGCATGTGGCTGTGCTTGTGGTGTCTATTGTCCACTGTCTAATGCATGGATTCTGTTTCACACCTTCTTCACTGGGGAAAGACTGACTATAACTTCATGTCTGTTGCAGCTTTTAAAAGACATGTCTATCAGGCTACTACAGATGCTCATAGTGTGATTTTCAGGATTTAAAGTAGACCAAACTTCTATGTTACTGATATGTCTTCCTAATTTTATTAAATAGAGGAGGAAATCCGCATGAAGCTTAAGGAGGCTCAGACATCCAAAGATGCCAATGAGATCCGGAAAGCCATCAAAGAGTTCCTAGATGCTAAGTTGGAGGACTTCTCTGGAGATCTGCCAGCAGCACACAAACAGCTGCAGGTGCTTGAGCTGAAGGCAGGTGAGTACCCTGCAGTTTTGGTACATTTGTAAGTAGATTCATATTTGTCAGTTTATCATGGTTGGGGCGGGATCGTCTATTGTTGTGGGGCTAATCAGCTCTTGGCGTGCAAAACTCCTTCAGGCGTACTCCTACTGGGTGGTCTGTTGAGCTGGATGGGGGAAATCTATTAGAGCCCCAACCACAATAGACTGGATACCAGGCTACAGATTTAGAGGTAGAGACTTATAACTTAGATGTCATGCTGCATCTCCAGACTTCTTTGTATCATCGTTGCCTTTTCTGCAGCATTGGACAAGGCTATATCTAGCAGGCAGCTGTCGAAAATTGGGACTGTTGTGGGAGAGATCAAGAAGAAAGGGCTGCAGGATGTCATGTCTAACGACATCGCACGAGCCAACAAGATGGTCATCCTCATCAAGCAGATGGACAAACTCAGGCAGGAGGTAGGGGGCCTTGCCTAGGGCATGGTGTCAGAGCAAATGGAATTTTAAGATGCAGAGAAAAGTGTTTGTCTCTACATAATGTACACACAGTTGTTGAACATCAAGCTGATTTGCTCATTTTTTGTATCAGCACACCATAACAACTACATGTACTGTAGGATGGTTAGAGAAATGTTTGATATACAAAGCATGGACAATTTGGCACAGTCTAATGATTTCAGTTACAGCAGCTTTTCACTGAGGGTTTGTTGATTGAACAGGTCCTGAACATCAAACAGTCGACCATTGCTGAAATCCGGTCCTACAAGAATGCCTCTGAGCCCGTCCACAAAGTCATGACTGCGACCTTCCTGCTACTGGGGGAGAACGAGAAAGATATCAAGGTGGGTGTAGCACTGCCTAGCAACCAGCAGGGGTGGACTGTTGGTCACATTTGTCTGTAGATTCATATGATCCCTGCTTGAGAGCGGAATACTCTATAGCTATGGTGAGCATCTCTTTTCCTTGTGTTATCCAGGACTGGTCCACCTTGAAGACACTGGTGGGTAAGACAGGCAAGGACGCCCTGAAGCAGAGAGTGGAGCATTGCGACGTTACCAAGGTGCCAGTTGCCATGGCAACCAAAGTGCAGGAGATGCTGGTGCCGTTCCGCCTGGAGGAGGTGCGGGACCACAGCGCCGGGGCGGCGACATTCTTCCTCTGGGTGAGAACCAGTTATTCACAAATGGGACTTTATACATGTACATACATACATTTAGATAATTATGCAGTGCATGTATCATAATGTAAAGGGGGTTGTAAAGAGCTTGTAAAGAAATGTTATGTCAGAAAAAACACTGCAACTGGCAAACTTCTGATGCAATGTTGACCAAAGATCCCTATGAAAACTGTAAAAAATGGGGGTTTTGCGCAGGCGCAGTACGTTCTGCCAACGTGCTGTTGTAAGACAGTTGATCTGTGATGAGGAGGACACCCTTGGCAGTTAACATCTGTCCCTTCTGTTATCATTAAGGAAAGTATTTTTTTCCATTGATGCATTAATGCTGTGGATTAGTTTTGTACCACAGAGGCATGAATCGTTTGATTTCCTGTTTGTTTCCCCAGGCTAACGGGATGGCAGATGAAGTGCTGGCAGGAGCAGCAGCCTGATGATGGTGTACACACAGATGTCGATGTGAGAACTGGGAATACACATTTCTGTAGACTGTCCAAGGCTCCATCACTCTTAAAGCTGGACACGACCAGGAACAGAATGCCAGCAAACAACATCCAATGACAAAGTTTGTCAATGAATTTTTGTAGGAAGCATGCCCTATTGAGAATACATCCTACATGTACACTGCCTGTTGTTACCCACAAGCACATCTGAATTGGTGTGAAGCTGTTTTATAAGTTCACAGGGATATTTAGATGGCTTCAAACATTTTGTAAAAATTGACGTGTGAGTTATCTACCTCAACATCTCTACATGTAGAACTCTTAAAAGTAAATTGTCTTCCTATCTGGTAGATTTATGCTGAGATAAAAGTACTTGGTAAAAATGAGTATCTGTGAGACTATTGCCCATTTGGGTTTGTTTGCCAACTCTTTATTAGACTTTTGACTATCAAGCCTTAAAGTTGAAGCTAGGTATGTTTCCAAGAAATATGTACTGTTGCCAAATGGTTTAACACCATAACAATGTAAATATATCGTCCTGGTCATGATCAACAAATCTCAGACCAACAGGCTAATGCACCTGACAGGTTCTGGCTGTAATAGCTATGATACAGTATGTATATAGGGTGAATCATTGCACATCTATTTGAATATTTATCTTAGCACTAAGTAGCATTTGTTTCCAACACAGGACATATTTTGTTCTTTAACTTAATATATTACAAATAGGCTTTCTTTGCTAAGTAAAAGGAAGAAAGGTATTAAACCTTTAATATGTATATAGTTTTGTAAACATCATGATAGAGAAACATTTTAATAGGATATTGTTTTGGTCAACACAAGAGTTTGTTCTGTCACTAAGCATAACCAGAGAGTGCTTGGTAACTGGAGTATATTGACATGTTCTTGTGTATTAAGAGAAGGGGTTTTGGGTTTCAGGTCATTTTGCATATAGCTGAGTGATAATAATGACACGGGTAAACTTACAGCAAGTACTTGTTTCCATATATTGTTCTCTAAAGATGCCAACATCTTTGGAATGGAGGATTGCACAATATTGGTTAATTTCAAGACTCTTTTTGAGGTTGGTGTCCTTGAAATACAAGTTTCACAGGCTAGATATTGTGTTCTACCATACTCAAGGAGAGTGTGAAATACAGATTTTAAACAAATTACTATCTGTACAATAAGTTGATAAACAGAATTCATATGACTACCGTGGTCATGAAAGTGACAAATTGTGTGAAGGTTATTTAGAAGGGTATCTTTAGAAGAGTTAAGATTTCTTATCTACCGGTAATGCCATTTTCTGTATCACTGATAGTTTCATTATATTTTTTTGTATCCTTTGAATAAAATTTGTTTCACACAATTTTTCCAGTTTGTACTCCTTAAAGGCTGTACTGGGCTGTTGACTAAATAAATTTTGTATGTTTTCAAATACAACATTTCTCTAATGTTGGTAAATATATATTTTCTGGAATGGCAACAAATACAACACTGTCATAATCATATTTCAACCTCCGACACAGTAGAAGCTAAAAGATCATTTGGACCTTCACATCTTCTCAGAGAAAAGTCTGCATGCCAAGGGATCCTACACACACACACATACATGTAGATGCCCAGTTCTGTTGGACAATCCAAAAAAGCAATGACAGGAGATGATACAATAAAATAGAAGAGATGAGCATGAAAGCAGCAGTGCTGGCCTCCCAGTCCTACTTGCCGTCCCACATTGTTAGTTTCCCCTCATGGAAGAGTAGATTTCTGGTGGGGAGGGGCACACCATGGTCCTGGCTCGTGGTCCCTCCAACAGGGGCGGGGCCTTCTCCCCCCTGCTCTGGTACAATGGGCAGATCCTGATGGAACAGTATTTATGTTGTTAAGTACAAATGTATATCACTAATGACTTCATTTTCTTAACTAATATGGATCAAAGAAACAATTCTTCAACTGAGGCTACATCAATACAGTTGGATTAATTTATATTCAGCACATATGAAAAGTACTATTGTAGATATAGCAAATGTAGACAAATCCCTACTGCAACAGGATAAATGCAAACATCATAATAAATTGAGGAGAAATTTTTTCCTGAAATTCCTATAGCCTTTAGACATATTTACACCTCCAAATGCCCCAATTAATATTAAGATAAAGGCAAGTTATGATGCAGACCTGGTTTTCTGATATGAAGTCCAGCAGCTGCAGTACCAGTTTTCGACTGGAGTGGAGCAGCTCCCCAAGGCTGCAGAGGGAGTTGAAATGAAGATTCAGAAACAGTAAGATACCTTTAAGATCTCATGTAATGTTCTACTAGTTCAATCTATACCAAACAAAAGGTATATGACTGCAGTATTCAGATCTGCAATGTGCATTGTAAACAATAAATGTTGTATAACAAGATCAGTATTACTACTTAGTTAGCATTACGATGTTTGGAAGATCATCATGTAAAATGCTATGATGTAGTTCTATAATAAACATACTATGTAGACAGCTTTTTTCGAGTACTCACCTCTCCAGCCTACACAGCCCCTGAGCAGCCATCCTCTCACACACCCGCGTGTTCAGTTCCCCGTTAAACAGTGGGATCCCATAGAACATGTCCAGCATCACCCACTCAGCCTCTGTCTCCTCCACCTGCCCTTCTTTTCTTCCATTGTTCCTCAGTGGTGAGGAGACGTCGAGCGAGAGTGTGTCCCGATTCACCATCACAAACGAGTCTCCACTGTTCTCTCCGTTCGAGGATCCCTCCTTCTGTCCGTCCGTGCCGTTCTGCCCTTGTTGTGTTGGCATGGTGATGACCTGGGAGGAGGGTCGATGAGTCTTGCCAGTCTTCAGCATGGTGACATAACCACAGGTGTGGCTGAGGTCCAGCTGGGAGGCCAGCTTCTGCACAGCATAGTGAGCCTGCATCATGTTCCTGGAGAATAACACTGAAAAAACACACGGTAAGGCATTTTTGCACTTAATATGGTGTCCATAAATGACAATGCCATAAGCTTATAGAAAAAGCATGATATCATGATTCACCTCTGAAGATGATGACTAACAACAACAACAACAACAACAACAACAAATGACCATGAAGTACAGAAGCTAATTAACAGATTTCAGCTAGATCGGTGGTCCATCCCTACCTTTGTCATCTGTGTCCTCCAGAGGGAAGGGAACATACTCTGTCTCACCATCTGTGTACAGTCCATGGGCCTGGGACAACAGGCAAGAGCAGATATTACTGGTGCGGTCAACAGAGATAGCTTTCCTCACTTTACTCAGGTGAAAATGAGTACCTAGCTTTGGTTCGGGACGTCCCTCGGATAGGACTTTAAATGGAGGTCCCATGTTTGGGGTAAGCCACACCCCACACATGTTAAAGAACCCACCACACTTTTCAAAAAAGAGTAGGGGCATGCCCCAGTGTGCCATGGTCCTAATACTACTATCTAACTAGAAAGGCCAATATTTGCTTTGGAGCAAATACAGCGATGGGTTCACCACATTTTACGACATGGCAGGGAAAGAATGAGAAACACAAGGGAAAACAATGATTTACATTGATATAACTATAATATGAAGTAACATACAACTAAAACAACAGTTGGATAGCTATTCCCTACTTTATTGGTTAGGATTTTTAATACACAGTAATACATTTGCTATAACACAGCCAAAAAACTCAAATAAAACCATTCTAAAAGCCTGTATCACAAAAATTTAAAAAACGCCTAGGGGTATTTGCCCACTGTACCTCCATACCAAATTTCAGGACCTTAGGCCCTAAAATGAAGAAGCTGAATCCATTTAAAAAATGGCAGGAGAAGGAGAAGGAGAAGGAGAAGAAGAAACATCAGAAAAAGCAATATGGGTTCACCACCATGGTGAACCCATAATGATTCACTACTTCAGGAAGAGTAGTGTGAAATTCACACTAACGGAGACCCTAAACAAACATTCAAATAAGCAAACAATCTGTACCTGTATGAGCACAGCGGAGTGTGTGAGCGCATCGTTCAGTGTCAGGAGGACGTTGGACGTGGCCACCACACCCGGGTCGTGACCCCAGGTGGTGATGAGGAGCCGGTCGTACTCCTGGAACACGGAGGGCAGCCGGCGTAACCGCGTACCTCGCACCTGTGATCACAGGACACACCAAAACTCATGCATGAGCAATATTCAATGTCCAGGACTTACATCGGTGAAGGTTACATTTTGTAGACATCCAGGTAATAAAATATGCCAAAAAACAGTTACTCAAGCAACTAGATATTATTTTGGAAATGGTCAGACATTTCAGGTAGCATCCACTATCACTCAGTGTCACTGATAAAAGGAAGGTAGTGGATGCTACCTGAAATGTCTGACCATTTCCAAAATCATATTCAGTTGCTCAAGTAACTGCTTTTTGGCGTATCTTATTACCTGGATGTCTAACCTTCACTGATGTATCCAAGACTTAGTGTGTTCGTTATCATTAAATATCTACCATATTAAGTTCAATTTTACAGTTATTCCACAGGAGGATAACAAAATTTTATGCTTTGTAAGATATAAAAGTTAAGACCTCACCAGAAGCAGTGTTGGGGGTCCACATCCAGTCACATGGTACAGGAACAACTTAAACCAGATGGAGTTCACCTGGATTGTGGTAAAACATTACAGAAAAATTATACATTGTACATGTACATTTCATATCGCTACAAAGCATTATGTACACATTGACCTAGATAAACAGATACAGAAGCATGTCAATTGCAAGTAGACTGTAAATTTTCGTTGATAAAGCATCAGACAAAGTGGTGTGGTGGACTGCAGTTTGGGCCTACCTCAGGAATGGCAGGGCCGATGTGCTGTGGGGTGCAACTGCTGACGGGCCGGATCTCGTTGCTCAGTGGTGCCATGGAGATCAGCAACCTACACAAATGGAAGTGCAGCCAGATGAACATTTCAAAATCATTGACTAGCCTTCATGACTAGTTTTAAAACTAGTAAAGGTTTCATTAATGGTAAGACTAGCAGCTCGTAGATGTGACATACATGTATTTAGATGCTGAAGAAAGTTTATTGGAAGTTCTTGCCCATAGGCTAATTGCAAGTACATGTAACATGAAAATAAAGGATGGATAATAAAACACAACCTTCTTGGCGAAGGTAATAACAGTACAGTATGTAACTACTACTAAATATTAAACACTAAATTTGAACTTATTGGGTTTGACTTCTTTTTCTAAGACAATGGAAGAGGAATGATCCTACTTTTTCTATAATGTGTGGGTTTTGTGATGTTAAGAATACTGAGATACTGTGATGTTGGAAGTTGAGAATTCTCCTTACGTGTAGTTTTTGTTGAGCACCCTACTGCACGTGCCCGGGTCCAGTCCTAGAAGGCTCTCACAGCGAACCAGATCCACCCCCAGACCCATGTTCTGGAAGTCAGGGTCGGGGGAAAGGTCCTTGTTGTGTCTTAAGAACACGAGGGTCTTCCTTAAGGTGTTAGCATGCTCAAAGTAGCGCTGGGCCTCTCCCTCTCCTACTGTCTCTATCTGTAGGCAGAAAACAGACATTTTGAACCAGCTACAGGTATCAACAAAAGGAACAGCTTCCTACAACATGTTTTTTGTACATTTGTATATTAAAGTAGAAAACACAGTCTCTTGCTAAGAATCTTTGCTTCCTAATGATAATGATAATGAAGCATGGAGTATCATCTTTTGGACCATGACTTCAGGACAGAAATATTGTAAATGGTCATGTTCATTCTGGCTTATGGTACTATCAACCATTATGTGTATATGTATGTCCTTGGCGCTGAACTACAGTCCAGTAATACTGTGTTCCCAATGCCTACAAACTAAACCTAAACTAACACATGTGGTAGTGCACAGCCACATTGTGAACATTACAACTTTTCAAGATATTTTTCCAGTTTATCCACTCTACAAAACATGATGTCAATCCTTTCACAAATGTGGTAAATCTGCATAAATAAATAAATGCTGTGGTGCATGTGACAAACCCACCTTCTCCAACTCTGCCAGGAAACTATCCAGTGACTCGTCACACAGTTTCCCCACCTCAAACATGGTGACTGCATGGCTCTTTAGACCCTGTAGTTTGTAGAAAGGACAGGCAGGGGTTGGTAATGAATTGCAGCAGTGTAGCTCCTCAAGTTTGCTAACAAGGCAACAGCATCAGTCTCTAGTAACCTTCAACCTCAACTTCTATATCAGAATCGTCATCAGTCTGTATCTGTATCAGTACAGTCCGTATATCCACCCTTCAGTGTAACACACCAGCTTCGCAGGCATGCGGCACAGCTGCGGCTAGCTATATCACACTTAAGGACTTGTTACAATCAATCTTTGCACAGTTAATTGCAGGAGTTGTTTAAAGCTTTCTAGTGATGATGCTGTGCTGCCACGTACCGAGTGGGGAGGGCTTTCCAAGGAGAAACTATGAAGATTATAATTATAAGACAAAGATAACTTTGTCATAACTTTGCATTGTAAATGTACTGCCTACGGGAAGGCAGAAACCTTTAAGTGCAGTCTGTAGCAGTAATGGAGCCAGTACTTACAGGAGACAGATTGCCCATCATGAGGAAGGCTGTGAGTGTGGAGTCAAACAGGAACCCAATCCTCTTCGTGTAGCCTGAGGTCGTGGCACTACCAATGCTAGCTGTGTCAGCTAGTTATGGGGAACAGAGATGCTTCAAATAAAGCCTTGTATTTCATAAGTTGAATAGGCAGGGCTCTCTCCAAGCAATGAAGAAAGGGTGCTCCCCCTCTCCCCCAAATCCTAGCACCTCTGCCAAAATGTTCAAATTTAGGGTTTTATCTTAGTATTTCATGAAAATTTGCTGATTTTTCATCAACCAATTCTGAGCACCTCTCCCCTCAGAATTTCTGTAGAGAACCCTGAATATGCAACTCAAATCTTACAGACAGAGCAATTAATGTAGGCAAAACATGTCAAATTTATTCGAACATACTGAAAAAGATAGACTTCAACATGCGTCAAGTTAAAGATTGTAGGCAAGGTGAGAAGTTGTTTGTACCTGAGCTGTGCTCTTCCAGACTGGCTGTGTCCACCTCATCAGCTGACAGCTCCAGGCTGGCAGGCTGGACAGTAGAACCCCAGTCAATCAGCAGCTGTTCCTCCTGGGACAGCCTGGGAACAGCAGTCAGGAGATAAACATTGTTAGTATTGGTCACGTTCATTCTGGCTTATGACAGTATCAACCATCATGTACATGTCCTTGGTGCTGAACTGCAGTCACATACAGATAACACATCCCAAAATGCTTGCAATCACACCTTGTGGTAACTATCCATATTGGTTAACATATCGCCTACTTTGTTTCTAATACATTACCGTGTAATTAAAATGGATTGTCCTCTGCCTTGTTAGATCTTGCACACACACACACACACACACACACACACACATAAACACCTAGCAAAAGGTAATCTTTGTTGGTACCTTAAAACATCATGAAAATCATACTTAAAAACCCTTAAGGTGTACAGGATATCTTGTATCAGTTGTCACAGAAAACTGTTGGGAGACAAAAGGAACTCACTTCTTCTGTGTAGAGATGGGCCTGTTTCTCCAGGAAGGATGGAGGCTGTCACCATCTGGGTCAGATCCCTTCTTCTTGGCAAAACCCAGTCGGCAGAACATAGACACTGCATTCTATAATATTATACATTGGAAAAATCCTCACAGTTACTCATACAACTATCAACACAGGCATGTCTAATGTGAGCTTAATCACACAACCAGGAGGAGGGATGAAGCAAATTTTAGACAACCTGCTGCAACCTGGGTATACACTTATACTTCTTATAGATGGGCAACTGTTTTAGGCACTGTATTTTGGGATTATGTTCAACCTATAGCAGGAATCGATGATGTTGTATCTTAAACATTCCATTGAGACTGTGTAGGCTTAAAGATAAAAAAAAAATTATCAAACACACATACAGTGCAGATGTTGATGAAACCTCTACCTTGACTAGCTGCAGATCAATCTGCAGGACATTGGCCAGCTCAGTGACTGTTGTGTGCTCATCGATGGACACAAAGATCTTGTACAACAGAGTCTCTAGATAGTCACCCTGCACTCGGTTCATCACAAAACCTTCCAGAGGGGGAACTGAAGGGATCAAATTAGCATTAACATCAAAGGAAAAAACTTGCTGTAAATGTAAAAGTATTTACATGTAGTAAGACTCTCATATCTCTTCAACAGTGTTAAGAAAGGCACGAATAAGGCTATGGACTTGATCATAAAATTTTGCCATTACAGACCGCGTACCGGTAACTGTTGTTACAACTGCAGAACTTACCAATGATGCAGTCATCATCATTTATAGGTACCTCCAGATACACAAGTCCCTTGTGGTACAAACCTGTTAAAGACAGAGAACATACAATGTAAATAATGAAACCTACATGAAGAAAGATGTAGCTCAAGTTCTATGTGTAACATCCAATGTTTTTTTTGTATTTGAGTAGTCATGATCAAGGATAAGCCCAGCAGGAAATGGTAAACACAGCACCAAATTCTAAGCACTTCTGTTACCGGTACTTTACCAACAGCTTTTTCCACATATTGTACTTATTTCAAAATCTAACTTACTTTGTACATATTTGTAGTCCAGCATTCCGATCTCCTGTGGCCCACTGTCTATGATTGTGTCCACCAAGTTCTTCTCAGAAACTTTACACATCTGATGGAGGAAAAATCAAGAACAAAGACTTCAAAATTCAGCCCCATGTATCAAAATGACATACAGCATACACTGTAGTATATACATGTAACTTGACAATCCTTATCCCATCTTACACATACATGTAGCACCCTGTATAGGTATGATTTGGGTTTTTTTCTTGTGCAATGCAGCATACTGCAATGAAATGCAATGAATGCGGAAGTAACTAAGCCACCGCATGGCAAAAAAATGTAAATCTATGACCTGATTAAGACATGAAATTAGTTAAAAAATTGTATAAAAATGCCAGCAGGACAAGGGTTTTAAACCATAATGACATGTGCCTGGTGTCTGTCCAGCCTACCTTGATGTCGTCCTCTGTGATGTACCCAGCCTGGGAGATCCACCACGGCTCCAGACTGATGTCCACTGGGGTGGTCGGTAGCAGGTCCCTGATCGGCTTTCTCCGGAAAAATTTCTAAAGAGAAAGACAAATATGACTTCATTGCAAGCAACTTTGATAACTGCTAAAGAGAACAACTCAAGTCTGTTACAGTTATATCACATGTACTATGTTCAATCGTTACCATACATTGTACCATGTACAACTGTCGAGCAATAAAGTTCTTTTATGTCAATGTAGTAACACTACTCAGCAGCTAAGTTCCAAGGTATGTCAAATTTTTTATTTATTCAAAATGAAAATCTTTGTGGTCAATTTTCTTTCTAGTTCTGAAAATACTGTTGGCAAACAACTTGCCTAGTACCTACATGTACATGTGTTCAAGAAGTGTGAACACCAATCTACCTTTGATGAGCGGCACTGGTTCATCAGGTCAATGTACTGGTTCCTGCCAATGCCCATCAGCCGCAGACCTGGCAAAATGATATCAAAAGTGAAGACATCTGATAGTGAATTGACTATTCAACAATTCTTTATTATTGGGCAGCTTTACCACAGCACCTTCTGAATTCGAAAATGCAAGACAACGATACATCTTTAAGTATTAGCAGTTCCAGTTTCTAACTCTGTGGGGTTTTGTGGCGTAATGGCTCGACTCAGAACCAAGAGGTCCTAGGTTCGAGTCCTGACGTGTCACCTATCTTGTGCCCTTGGGAAAGGCACTTTACATGACTTTTCTCACTTAACTCAAGTTTAAATGTGAGTATTGTCTCCTGTATTTGTTTCTATGTATGGGATACAACACCAGCAACAGCTGCCTGTGTCCCAAGTGTATAATAGTTACAATTTCAATAAATCGAACAATGCAGGACAAAAATACATCAGTATCAATTTGAGAGTTACAGTAACTGTTCCTAACTCACAGTCAGCGGCAGTGAAGTTGGGGAGTGAGTCGTAGCTCTTCTCGTTGGCCATGGTGTCCTCCATGATCCTGAGGTAGTAGGAGAAGGGGGTGATGCGCAGACCCTTCACCATGATGTCAGACAGGTGGTACGGGTACAGCAGCAGGTGCTCACGGCTGTACTGCAGCAGGTCCTCGTAGTAACGCTTCTCATCTTTACGCACATGGCGTACTGTGGAGGGACAGGAAACAAAAAAACAACAGATTTAGGCATGGGAACAATAATGTTATGTCCCAGTAGCAGATATGCTTGGTAGGCACATATCATTTAAGCTAAGTTTACATATAGTAAGAAATTGCAATGCAGTCTTGGAATGAAAATACAAGGTGCAGATTTCATCATCATCATTGTCATCATCGTCATCATTCCAGGGTGTCTTCACTCCTCCCTTGACTCCAGTCCTTTCTTAGTCTCTCAGTTCTTGGCCATGCAGAACCCAGGTGTTGCACTCTCTCCATCTCATACAGGACCACCCTCTGCATCTCCTCCACTCAGTCTAGAACCTGGTGTCCACTCAGTGGCTTTTGTTGTACGCCGGTTATCCTGTAGCGTCGCTATATGTTCTGCCCAGTAGTGGTGCGTGGCTGTGTTGACAGCTGTGATGATGTCTGTTACTCCCGTCTGCAGTCCAAACCAGGAGTTTCTTTTTCTGGTGCAGACTTAAGTAATATATATTTCAAGTCACTGTCATTGTTTGCCTGTGTAACAAAAGAGCTTATCAATAAGTCTTCACAGTGCTGCCAGTATAAGCTGCTGGTTTCCAGCTGGGCTTACAAATAGCAACAGGCTGTCATAGATGGCTCATGAGCAGACCACCTTCAGTGTAAGTGTGTACTAATGTACATGTACACGTGGTACATGACTGTTTCTCCATCTCCTGCTGAGAGGGCAGCAAGTCAAGGCTACTGCAGGTCAACATAAGTCCACCAGGGGGGACCCAACAGAAATGTTTTCAATACATACAGTGTATTGTATTCTTGGTATTTAAGGCAGTGAACTTTGACATTCTAAAGGCCACAGAAGGCACGGTGACTTTAACACTAATACTTATCAAGGTCTTCAAAAGTGATTTTTAGATTGGCTGATAGCTATCTTATCGTATGCACACCAGATCAAAGAGCACCCACAAGGCCCACACTTTCTGCTATCTATAGTTCCCTTCAACAATACTGATCTCTTAATCTATCTAACGACCTCTACTGAGCCTTTCTCCCACAGACCTGGTTCGGCCTGTTTGTGGTCTCCAAGGTCTGACCACAACAGACTTGAGGCCTTTAATTTTGAAAAAAAAAAACACAAAGAAACACTATCAAGTTTTACATTGACTTCACCTACTACTACTAGAGAGACAACTGGCAGTCTTTGACTCAGCATATTTCATAAAGCTGTTCCTTTGAGAATGCTCACTCCCTGTGGGGTAGAAGACTCCACCGTGCCATCTGGTAATAACCTTCAGGGTAAATCCAGGCCTTTGCCAGGATGATTAACTTTTCTCTATCTGATGACCCTTGACCAGGACTGGCGGGGAGTCTGCAAACTTCCGATCTCCAAATCCTACAGGTAGCTATAGGATAGCTTCACTCAGCGAAGGGGAAAACAGACATCAACACACACTGAGTGACTTGTCTTCAAGAAGGCCTTGTCCTCTCATTGGTGTCAATATCAACTGAAATGAACAACTGCACTTTAAGACATGGTCAATACATGTCTCAGAAAGTGCTGCTTACTGTATGTGTTGCATAATTTTGCAATGTCTGCCTCTGGTACCATATAGACTTGTACGCAGCCATGTATTAATAAGTTATTACTAAATGTACATCAGACCTCAACATAAATTATACATGTGTGTGCAAAACTGTAATTTTGTAAGTGGTATATTATCTTAATGAAATTGCCATCAACATTTGATGACAACATCTACCAAATATTACATGTGAGAAGTAAGTTCACACTTGAACTTGTTACTCTAAGGATAATGTTGCAAGGATGATAGCTCACAGAACAGATGACTTATCTTATATCTATAGCTATAAAGAACAAAACATCTTTGGCATAATTCCAACTTTACTCCCCTGTGAAGCATGTCACCCTGTGAAAACATAATCATACTTAATACCACGTCACTGTCATGAGCAGGTGTTGTGTTGTATGTAGGAGAGGAGGCTACATTCCCATCCTTAGGCAGGGGGAGGAGTAGAGTTGCATCAATGGGACAGAATTTAGTCCTTGTAAGTCCAGAGCTTAGACTGTCAGTTTTTGCGCCTTCTACTTAGAATTCTATAAATTCCATCCCTGCACCATGTGTAAACACAGTGCGGCATGTATGACAACATCAGTTAGAACTGAGGCATTCAAGTTCGTAAGGTTAGACAAGGGTTTCGATCTGGTTCAAGAAGCGTTGGCTGCCACCGGGGGTGGTCCACAGACCGCTTTGGACTTCATCAACTGGAACCCGGTCCACACAAAAGCTGCACTGTTCCACATCCTTCGGGGGAGGATAACTTATTAAACATCTTACTTTACTGCTGTCAGCCTCAGAGGAGGAAAAAGGATGCCTCCATCCTCTGACAGGTATAAGACTTTATGGTCTTAACTTCATTTGTGAAAGTTGAGCAAAATTTTGGACTACTAAATTAGATTTGGACCCAAAGCAAAGCTACTACACACGAGTTCTCATCTGGGACAAGAGCTACCAGTAATAGAATATGGCCTCTGTAAAACATGTGGGGGATAAAAGTTAGAAGGAGGACATACATATAATTTATCATGTGTTGTAGTAAGTAGTACTAAAAATAAACAATGTGTGCAGGATATTACAAAGTCATTATTCCTATTTATTGAGACAGCTGTGTACAGTATACTTTGGTTATTGAAGTCATGCTGTCTACTTTGATTAACGTTAACCCAATAAAATTAGGTCACCATATAATGGGACATGCTGCGCCATACTGAAGGGGCCCTGCAGGGGTGGCAGACAATGTACTTATGAGGAAGAGACAACTCCTTCAAGACCTCTTATAAGACTTCTCAACACTGTTTATTGACCATCCCTATGATGTTTATACCTCCTATAATGTTTATATCAGACATTTGAAAAGCTTTAAATATAATACAAATATTTACAAAACTGTAGTACCATTGTCAGTTACAGGTTGTAAGTATCCTGATTATAATAAGTGTACATACGTCTAATGTGTTAATAAGTTTGTAATGATATGTGTTTTTACGACTCCAGGAAGAATAGTGCAGTATATGTAGTATACGTATACTCACTAATGGAGATCCATCAAATAAGCAAATGAACCATTCGCTAAATGGAGAGCACTGAATGTGTTTGTCATGAACATTTCAGAACACAAACTTTAAGATTTCCAGTTGAGAGACAGATTGACCAGTGGTCAGGTATCCAGGTGTGCAGCTGTGTGTCCCAGAAGCAGAGGTTAAAGTTGAAGAGTGACCCGTCAGGACAGTGCAGCAGTGTGTTTCTGTACTGGAGTGTGTTTAACATGTTTTAGCACCTGAAAAGGAAGGCTTTACAGTGCCGGAACAACTTATTGCTTCCAGTCCTCGAGGGGACATCATAATATCAAATACCTATTATGTTATTGGAATAAATTATAGTCAAATTCCTCTGGATTAAAGGTAATATGTAATAAGGTAATAAGGTCACATTAAAAACCTCAAGACAGTAATCTTGTTCAACTTGGTCCAAATAGTCTAGAAGATGGTGTCCAGCTTCCATATACAATGTACATGTAGGCTGAGAGAAAGTTGCTCCATCAATTGATCAATACACTACTAACCAATTAGTTATTGATCATTGGTACCACCTGTAATTTGAAAGATGAGTACGAAGAAGACTTGTCTGATGCTGGTTTGTCTCTGAAGCCAAAGCTGATGCAATAAAAAACATTTCTAGGGTTCTCTACATGAAAGTCCATTAGTCCTTGTAAATACTGTTACAGGCTAGGGTCTATGAACTTTTTCTCAATTTGTCTGCTTTTCTTTTGTCAGAGTATACACTGTCAGATATTATCAGCATAATGGACTGGAGAGAAATTGGCTATTTACAGTCAGTTCTACTTGAATTGTCATTGTAAATAGCCAATAGCCAAAATGTATATAATGCAATGGGATCAAACTCGCAGACAGTAAGAATACAAACTATTAGAAGAAAATGTCAAGCTTAAAAAGAAATCAGTCAAACATGCAAACTACGTGACATGTATGGTGTCAGTGCTATGTTGTAAGTATGAAAGTCAATCTCTATGTCTGCATTAACTGTAAACAATAGGGTCAAATAGGTTGTCCAACCTGCTGGGTCATCCATGCTTATTTACATAACTGTGGCCAAACCTTTACGATTCTGTCCCTTCAGGCTCCAGGGAGCATCACACACCTAAATACTTATCTGACCCACCCATCAATGAACTTTGACCTGAAGATGTACTTGGCTTAGTAACATATTGGACTCAACTACAGGAACGAGGATGATCACTTTTCCTCTACATGTACTTATAAGAGGACCACGAGACGTTACACGGATAGTGAGTGAGTGAGTATAAGCAATATACAGCAAAGCCTGTGTCCAAATTACTAAACTAAAATCTTCGAAATCAAGAGCTCTTCCAGTCATCTTCAGAAAGTCATACTCGACATTCTTCACCAGGGATGAGTGTATACATCTTTTAGAAAGGCCTTTCTATCATCTTATGCTATGATATTTTCTTTGTGTTAATATTGGTTTCTTATGTTGTTCTTACTCATAATAAGTTATGATTTGACTAATGGAAATTTATTTTTTTGTTCAATATGATATGTTCTTGATTGTCTTACTTTATTGTTTAGATATCTAATTCGCCGTGTTAACTTTATATTATCTTGTAACTATTTTGAGTTAATTTGTTTGCTTGTCCCTTAATACATTGCAAGTTAAATGTAAATGTAATAAATGTATGTAAATAAGAGATCGTAAAATTAATAGGATTTGGGAGAGTCTACTAGACAAACCTTCAGGTTTCTTGGGCTCTCCAGCATATATTTGCTTGTATATAATTTCTTTTAATACTGTTACTTTTTATGTGCAAATTGACAATAAAAAATAAACAATCATCACACAAAAAGTCATGATATGAAAGGATCAATTCAGACATGGTTGCGTTGTTTAAACT